GTTTGTTCTTCCCATATGAGTCCATTCCCCCTTCCCTCCCCAGTACACACAGGAATCCATAAAGTCCTTTTAATTATGCACAGCAACAAGCCCTCAAGTGATCAAGGGCAGGTGTTACCACCACTACAGGTAGTGGCATAGGTAGCATTGAACAGTCTTGTTCACGTTGACTCATTTAGGAGAAAGAAAACCACCTCTTGCCAAAGGGGGACCAGAGGGAAAAGGCTCGCTAAGACCGTCCTCTACTGTGTCTGATTCTTATGTTTGGGACCGCCTTAGCTGCTTTGATTTTTGTGTGCATATGAGTGGCACATGTAATGAGTTATTCATCTGTTTCATGTAGAATTCTTAATTGAAAGCAGTGTTTCAGCACCATGAGTAAATTTCTAAAGTATTTGAAATGAGAAAAGAATCGTGTGTGTGTGTGTGTGTGTGTGTGTGTGTTAGCCCTTTAGGAAACTAAGGCTTTTTTCAATTAAATGAAAGTCAAAATCAAGTTATAAATCCTTGAAAGAACGGGAGTTTATAATTGAAATTTCAGCAGATTGCTTGCCCCAAACTGTGTGAATAGATGGTTTTACTTTAATGGTGCATTTTTGATTGAGTGTTTTTAACTAAACAGTATGAAGGGGGCTTGTCACATAGAATATAAACTACTCTCTAACCCTGAATTACTAAGTTTTCTTCACAAGTTAGGGAGGGGGCTAAACAGATTTTGAAGAAGTCAGAAACATTTATTTCTAAAACATTCCTTACACGGAATAGATTTGAACTAACATGCTGACTTTTTTTTTTTTTTAACATTTTCAGATAGCAAAATTACTCAGTGGGAAGACCCAAGGCTGCAGAATCCAGCAATTACTGGTCCGGTCAGTATTCTCAAGTTCTGGCTCTTCAGTATCAGATTCTGGTTTCATCTACACATGCGTTTCTTGTATATTACTGACAACTGTGATGCCAGGGGACTGGTGTAATTAAATAGTTACACATCTCTTCCTCACTAGATTTCCAGGTGAGGTATAGGGTCACATGCCCTTTCAGAAGGCTTTCGTTCAAAAGGAAAAGAAATTGGTTTGATAATGATAGCAAAACTAAAAATTTTTCATTCTCCTTTATAGAAGGGTGAACTAAAAGTATCATCAGAATTTCCTTTGTATATGAAGCAAAACTAAGCCTGATACCTATAGAGTTTTATCATTTCTTTAGGGCCAGGAGAAATAAATATATGCTAATAAACTTAGACCTTTTGCAGCTTTAAAAATCTGTAGACATTTGGGTGAAGTTGGAGCTAACTTCAGGAGCTGGCAGAGGGAAGAATCTTAACTCTGCCGACCAGTTCCCTTTCTCGTAGTCCCCCTCACATATGCCAGATGGAAAAAGATGAGTTCTGCTGCGGGTATAATGACCTCTTAAAATACTGCAGCACTTGGTGTTGGTAAAAGGGAGTGAGAACCCACCGCTCCTTAGCTGCAGGCACTGGGTGTCGCAAACCTTCAAATGAGTCTCTGGAACGGGACCACACTCAGGATCGGGGAGCATGCCGGCAACCTTTGTCAGTGGTGATATGAGTACGAGGAGATACTTTGGACCTACAAGGGATGTGCTGAGATCAGCAGAAGATCGCGTATTTGAGATCCTTTTTTTTGAAAAAGAGCAAAAAGAACTAGAGACTGTTATATTACACGCTAAGCTAAGAAGCTAATAGGTATATTTAAAATACCAATGTTATGGCTATAATCAGATTGAATTCAAATCCTGTTTCGAATGATTAAGATCCTTCCACTTGAAACCTTAAAAGCTAACTCATTGCAAACGTGTATTGATAACTGACACCCTTTAGTGATTTGTTTGTTGAATTTGTTCCTCCACTTTGGCACTGTTTCGTAGGTAGAGTACCCAGTAAGTAATACCTGGGCCCAAACTTCTTTTTCCTGGGTGTACCTTAAAAAAACACCGCCTTACTATGATGGCTTCCTTTTGACACATATATTCACAGTCATGGTTGTTAGAATAGTATTTTCCCTTGTACATCATTAGAAACATGTGGTAAATTCAAGAAACAGTAATGTTTTCAAGTGGCAGGAGACTTTAGAAGCTTTCTCAAATGTTTGTATCATTTATCAGTCACCTACCTTTGCTCAGACACTGCTAGTCCTTATTAATTATGTTTGAAAATTGTTTAGCATTATGAATTCAGGTAGATTTGCCCCCTTGAAAGATCTCTATTTCTGTTTCCTATTAATAAAAGAGCCTTGTTTACTCTTGAATTATTACTACTGGTGATGTTGCTTTCAAAAGGAGTATGTGTATTTAGGTAATTTACAATGTTGTGTAGATATTTGGCCTTTGTTGTCATATATTTATAAATATTTTGCAATTTTTATTTGATTTTTCTTATAAATTATTTTAAATGTGCTCTTTAGTTTCTAAGAATATGAAAGGGCTTGCCTATCCATTTTTTTATTGATTTTTTAATTTTATTGCATTATAGTCAGATAATGCTGTCTATGGAGTATTTATTATTGGATATTTGAAACTTCTTTGGAGGCTTGATCATTTTTTGTCTTCATGTGTCTATTAGGTCAAGCCTATGGTGTCAAAATTATTCATATCTTTATTACTTTTTTTCCTATTTGACCTAGTCAAGAGAGTTGTGTCAAAATCTCCATAGTGATTGCTGCTCTGTCAATTTCATCTGAAATGTATATAACTATTTTCGCTTTCTGTCTTCCTTAGTATTTGCTTGGCATATCTTTTCTCTCTCATGATGTTTCTTCTCCTTTCTTGCCCTTTACTAGTACTCTCTATTCTGTTTCACTGTGTGCTTGCAGGTTGTACTCTCTATTTCTGTTATTTTAGCACTCACATTAAACATTTTAACCAGCATGCTTGACTTAAGCTTAAAATTAATCACTCTCCACCCCCCTGGATAACATCAGGACCTCAGGAACTTTACTGCCATTCTTCCTCCCCCCCCTCCGTTTTCCATGTCATTGTTGGGTGGAATTTTAAAACTACCTTGTCTTTAAATTTTCCAAGTAGTCATTAGTATTTTATCTTTTTTCCCCAACGTCAGTGCAGACTTAATTTTACCTATATGTAAGCAAATTTCTTTACCCACTATTGATTCTTACATTTCTTTTTTTTTCTGTTTTTTTCTTGATGGAACGAAAGTAGGGCTTATGGTTCTCAATGACCAGAGTATCTGTGTCATCTGGGAACTTGTTAGAGGTACAAGTCTTCAGGTCCTATCCTAGACCCAACAGGGCTGGGAGACTGTACGGCAGCCTTTTTATACAGGCCTTCCCCCAAGTCTGAGAGCCTCCGCACTTCTAGTGAGAATCTGAGGGTGGGGACGTCTCTTAATCTTTGACTCAAAATGTCTTATTTGGCCTCTCTACTAAATGTTAAGTTCAGCTGATTATAGAATTCTTGGTTATTGTCCTTCACTACTTTGGAGAGATTCTTTTTTTTTTTTTTTTGAGTTGGAGTCTCACTCTGTCGCCCAGACTGGAGTGCAGTGGCCACTTCCGGCCACCGCAGCCTGGACCTGCTGGGCTCCGGCGATCCTTCCACCTCAGCCTTCCCAGTAGCCAGAATTACATGCATACGCTACCACGCCCGGCTGATTTTTTGATTTATTGTAGAGATGAGGTCTCGCCAAGTTGCCCAGGCGGGTCTCGAACCTGCGGGCTCAGGCAATCCACTCACCTCATCCTCCCAAAGGCGCAGGATTACAGGCTGAGCCACCGAGCCCAGCTGGAGAGATTCTTAAATGTCTCCTGACCTCTATAACTAATGATGAGAAGTTTGCTGTGAGTCGACTTGTCATTTCCGTATAGATGAATCGCTCTTTTCTCTGGTGATTTCGAATTTTGCCTGTGTCTCAGATGATCTGCAGTTTCACTATCATGTATGTACCTATGTGTGGATTTCTCTTTGTCTGTCCTGCTTTGGACTCATGCTTCTTCAGTATGGGGATCATGTCTTGCCTCTGTTCTAGAAAAGTCTCAGCTGTTACTGCCTCACACGTTGCATTTTTCCTGTTCTCTCTGTTTTTGTGACTCCTGTCGGGCATGTGGTTCACTTTCTCGTTGTCTTCCTTGCCTCTGTGACATTTTTCTCCCTCCTACTCTCTCTCACCCTTCCCTTGCCTCCCTGTCTCTACTCCCATTGCTATATTGTGAGTCATTGCTCAGCTCTTCCACTTCATTCTTTCTGAAGCTTTCAATAATCTACTCTTTATCAATTCTTTGTGTTTATTGTTTCAGAGACTATGTTAAATGCTCAGAGTTCTATTAGTCTTTTAAAATTGGCTTTGTCTTTATTCTGTCCTGTTCTTTACTTTTTTATGAAATTCTTTCATCTCTATCATCATTATTATTATCAGTATTTTCTCTATCAATACTTATTTCATAGCCTCTTTTAGATTGTTCTATTGTCTTTGGTCTTAGGAGCATTAAATCTCCTGCTTGTTATGTCTGTAGATGCTCCTTAATGGTAGTATATTGCCTAGTTTAGTTTATACTCTGTGTGTGTGTGTGAGAGAGAGAGAGAGAGAGAGAGAGAGAGAGAGAGAGAGACCAGAGAGACAGAGAGAGTGCACATACAAGGAAGAAAGGGAGAGCACTCATCTTTATTAATTTCCCATGAGATCTTCGTAAGACCTGACCTGTATTTGCTGTTTAACTTCTTAGCTTGGGCTCATGCACCCCTAATTAGTATAACTGTGGACCTCATACCCGCTTTGGTATAGGCTTGGAGTATGGATTTATTACAGGTCTGTTTCTTTTTGTTTTTCTCCCATTTATGGTCCTGGACAGAAGGTAAGCTTCCTTGCAACTTCCCTGGGCTGGAGGGCAGGCTTATCTTGTCCCCTTTTTAGATGTGAGGTTTTAAGCAGGGGACTCTGTTTTCTCTTAGGTCCTGTAGACTGAAGGCCAAGTTCTGTGTCCCCAGGGGAGGATTAAAACCCAAGCCCAAGCATCTTCGTCTAGATTCAGCGCCCACTTATTTATCTAATTTTCCCCTCTCTGTTTATCTGGTACTTAGAATTCTTTCTCTTTATGTTTCCCAAGTTTTAAAAATATTAGTTATAAGTTGGTCCAGCCTTCCTACCTTTTTTAGGGAGCAGGGTCTCTTGTCTTGGCATCACACTGGGCTGCATTCCTGGAAGTCAGTGTGCTCTCTGTATCACACCTGTCACCAGCAATAGCACTGAATCAGTGCAATCTGTGGATGCTGCTATGATGAACACTCTCTCGTGCCATGTAACACTTTTCTAAGAACTTGACAATCAGCTGATCTAAAGCTCATAGCAATCCCCTCGGGAAGGTAGGGCAGATGTTATGATTTCCAGTTTGTCAGAAGCTCAGAAAACTAATTGTGTTGCCGACAGTCCCTTCAAGTGTGAGAATCAGGCGGAGCCCCAGGTGTGCTGGCGTCAGCAATGTCTCCACGTCAGGCCTGAACCCTTCTATCTAAGGACCTCCAGTATCACCTGGATAATGATGGTGTGAAAACATTTAGACCAACTTACACAGCAAGGCAGGTTTTCATTCTGCACAAAAGAAAGAATGCATTTTTAATGCAGCGCCAAAGGGCTTCCATCAGCAGATGTTGATTTTTCAAATGGGTTTGTTTTATAAGTTAAATTGTGTGGTAGCAAATAAGATGCCAGATTTTCAAGAGAGAACAAATAATTTTGTCTGTCCAGTATACATGTAATTCTCTTCAGAAACTGCATTGTAGGAATATGTCTGTCCTGGTACATTGTTTGGGGTCTTTTTAGGAAGAGAATATGAAAACTTGCTCTTCTTACTCAATCATGAGAGCTACTTACAGAGAGAAAACATAATACAGGAGGAAGATAATGGTTTCTTTTTTTCCAGCTTCCATGCCAGAAATGTCTCAGCATCTTATTTCCTTCCATACCCCCTCAGTACCTGCCAGGTTCTAAGTCAGGCAAGAGAATGAACCGCCCAGGCCAAGGCAGCACGTTGAAGTCTTTTCCTTGGGAAATCTGTCATTTCAGACCATTGAGCTTTCATAGACAATAATGAACGTTGAAACTTTTTTCCCAACATTTTTAGGGAGATGGAATCTGTAATGGTTGGAACACCCTCACCAATACAGGAACACACAAAAAATAATAACTGATTGCTGGTAATCACAGACTTGGTTCTAGTCAAAACCTTCTACTTCACTGTGAAAACATTCCCTGGTGGAGAGGGTGGCTGAGCGAGCTAACGCTGGTGTGAGAGAATGAAAGGAAGTCATTTTTAGTTTAATTCTCCTCCATCACAGTGAATCACAGCTAAAGGCATCAGCTTGATGCTTTCCCTCCTCGAGACCTGGCAACCACCGTTCCTGCTGTGGCTTGTCCCCTGCTGTCACTCTGGTTTCTGCCCAGGTATTCCCTCCTCAGAGCCCCTTCCCTGGCCACCTCCTGTAAAATAACCCCACAGGAATGCTGCGTCACTTTTTTCCCACCATTTATTCAAGTATTTCTTACTGCTGTTGCTCCTGACAGCTCATACATTCCAGGAGGGAACTGGGAAAGAGTTCTGATTTACAGACCATTATTTTCCTAGCACTTAAAATGCCTTGCACGGAGTTGGTGCTCAAGAAATATCTGTTGACTGAATCAGCAAATGAACACCAAAGAGTGATAAGTCCGCCAGAGAGGAAATCTTAGTTTGTGAAGGGATGTGGTATCGGTGGAACAGAAAGCGTGATGTCTGTATTAGTTTATGTCAGAATAGTGTATTCTGTTTCTTTTTTTGATGGTTAGCAAAAGTTATGCCTTGCTTAAATTCAGATTTGATTTCATCAGATAAATACTGGCTGGGATAAATAGGATACGTGGTAAATGTAGCGTTTGGTGGGAAACCAAATGAAGACTGGCTTAAAACCCAAGAGCAGGGCTGGGTGCGGCGGCTCCAACCTGTAATCCCAGCACTTTGGGAGCACTTTGGCCAAGGCGAGAGGACTGCCTGAGCCCAGGGATCCAAGACCAGCCTGGGTAACTTGGTGAGACCTTGTCTCTACAATAAATCAAAAAATTAGCTGGGCATGGTGGCACATGCCTGTAGTTCCAGCTACTTGGAAGACTGAGGCAGAAGGATCTCCTGAGGCCAGCCGGTCGAGGCTGTGGTGGCCGTGAGTGTACCACTGCACTCCAGCCTGAGTGACAGAATGAGACTCCAACTTAAAACAAACAAAAACCAAGAGCAGATCATGGGCGTATGCATTGTCTGTAGTGTGTCCTTAAGACAGACAAATATGATGTATTTCTTGCTCTTGAATTACAAAGCGTAACACTGACATGGTCATTTTCTATCCGAGTGGCTGTTTGTTCTGTTTTGGGGTTAGTTAGTGGTGTAATCATGTCTTAAGCACAGTATGAAGGAGAGAAGCTTTTCTTCATTTCTCCTTCTGGTCAAGAATAAGCGTGGTAAAGGTGTAAGGTTTGAAGACTAGAAACATTTACTAAGGATTAACCTAGTAAATGTTTGATTAACCTAGGCCAAAATACTGTCCTCTGTCAAAGTACTCTCTGCCAAAATTCATACTATTTACTAAAAAACAATGCATTGCTTTGAGTATGAGATTATCACAATTATGTCTGTGTATGTGCAAAACTAATCCTTTTTGCTTCATTAAAAAAAAAATTGTAAGCTTTTTCAGTAGCCTAAAGTCAGGGCTCTGGCTCTATGATATTATAAGCTACTTGACAGGCAGCAAATAAAGATGATTTAACCGGTTATATTAAAATCTTACTACTTTACCTGAAGAGATACCAGAACTTTTGAATGATAATAGTTAATTCCTGAACCCACAACTGTGGTACTGTCACAATTTCATTTGAGATTTGGAGAAACCCTTGCCCAAGACATCTAAGTGTTAAGGAGCAAACCTTCTGACTGCTAAATTGGGACTTTTCCGGAAATGCCACCTACCTACTTTTGCATTCCTTGATATACGTGTCCATTCACTTCCCTTTCTGCTTATTGTATTTCCCCACAAAGGTTTTTAAAGCATGATTAGACTTTTTAGAAATGACCAGCATATGTCGTTTTGGGTTGTAGTTAAAGTAGCATAGCCAATAACTCTTATCTAAACTGCAGCCCCAAAATAAAAACACACCCTGTCTCGTGTTCTGACCACAGTCACATGGGTAGTACATTTAACTTGGGTTGTGTACCCCTGAATGATGTATTAAGTAGCAGGATAGTTGTTTTCAGGGGTGAAAGCTCTATTTCAGGCTGAGTAACCCTCCTCAGTTCTAGGACTTACCCATGTGCTGTGTAGACATTGCATAAGTTTGCCACAGGTAATATGAAGAGTGAGTATTTAAGGTTTATGATTCATAAAATTATCTGAGTGTTGGCTCAGTATACATAAAATTTCAAGTGTATTATTTGCGTTATCCATATTTATACGTTTTTCTTCCAGGCTGTTCCTTACTCCAGAGAATTTAAGCAGAAGTATGACTACTTTAGGAAGAAATTAAAGAAACCTGTGAGTAATCATGCCTTCCAAAAATGCTGTGTTTTAGTCATTTATAAGTTACCAAAGTTACTTCAGTGAGAACAAGTTGTCTGTTACTTTTATATGTATACTAAAAATATTACCTTCCTTTTTTCACTGCACTTTGATCCACCTGGATCCTTCAGTCTGAATTTTCTTTTTAACAGAAATGGTAAGTGAAGATGAATTCAGTATTGCATATCAAATCACCCGAAAGGGTAATTTCTTATGTAATACCTAAAAAGATAGAAATGATTTTTATGGGATTGAAAATGACTTAGGACACTAATTACAAAATCTGGGGAAGCCCATGCAGTTACATATGGTTATCATAGTCAATGAAACCTAAGTCCTAATTAGAATGTTCAAGTCTTTCCCTGTACATTCAAAAGTATGGTTTTGACTATAATATTTATATTTACAATATAAAGTCATATTCAGTTATAATCATTGGCACTATTGGGTCCAAGTCTATATGAGATTTCTCTAGGCAATGTTTTAAAAATTACAGTGTTATATTTTCTGCTGACACACCACCCCCAAATTCTTCCACACTGTGTCTGTTGGACTTTCTGATTCCACCTCTCCAGTACAAGTCTGAGCAGTTTTCTCCTGTTTGCTCCATCACTGTGGTTTACCACTAGAGAAAGGAGCGTACTGGTCCCACCCAGACCGTTGTCCCACATGGCCAGAGCTTGGTCACATCTCTTCCTGCCCTCTCCCCTCAGTCGATGCCTCCTGCCTGGGCGTCTTCCCTGGATAAGACACAATCTGCTCTCACTTAGGGGTTCTGTTCTCTGTTTCCAGAGTCCTGATTCAAGAGCTTATGGATAATGACTTTTGAAATCACTCTTTGCCCTCAAAGCTCAACTGCGAACACATAAAATTCCAGTGTCACATTCCCTGGTCATAGGCAATGACTTTGTGGCTATCACCCAGTCTCACTCTATGGCTGTTACCCTGCAGTGTCTTCTGCCTGGAAACTGTCTCTGCAGATCTGTCCTTAGAGCCAGGCCGACCCTGGCCCACCTCTTTCAGGAGGCAGTTTTCACAACCCCCGCCATGTTTTATTTTCTTCATGTCAGTGAACATGCTTTGGGATGCTTTCCTCATACTCGGCCTAATCAGGTCCCACTCCCTATGGCAACAGAATGCACTTGAGGCATCATGGACCCTGTCTACCACCTGAAGGCCCTGCCAGAGTTGAGCATGGTCCCAACCTGGCCAGGTAGGGATGACTTAGGGGCTTTGATTACCTGAGCTAAAGTCTCTTTCCTTGACCGTATTTCAGTTGCCATTGGGTGGATAAGTGTCCAAAGTTGCCTGGAAAAGGGTGAGGGGACAGTGTTCTCCTACTCAGCTGAGATGCTGAGCGCCACGCACGTCTGCCCTATGTATCCCATCTTGACACAGCGAGGCTCTCTGTCCGTGCAAGGGAAAACCTATGAGGGACAGAAAGTCAGATGGAACCATTCTTCATTGCTTACTTATTCGAAGACTACTGTCTTTTCTACTTTTTCTGTAATTTTTCTGTCTGGAAGGCAGGTGTATAGTTACTGTGTGATTATGCTCGTTTTTTGTTGTTTGTTTTTATGTAGGCTGATATTCCAAATAGGTTTGAAATGAAACTTCACAGAAATAACATATTTGAAGAGTCCTACCGGAGAATCATGTCTGTGAAAAGACCAGATGTCCTAAAAGCTAGACTGTGGATTGAATTTGAATCAGAGAAAGGTCTTGACTATGGGGGTGTGGCCAGAGAATGGTTCTTCTTACTGTCCAAAGAGATGTTCAACCCCTACTATGGCCTCTTTGAGTACTCGGCAACGTAAGTATACAAAACACACTCCGAGTGTGTCCCCCACCAAAATGGTCTTATGCTTAACGAATTTAAACTTAAAGAATAAGCAGCTCACTTGTCTGAGATGGATCAGCACTGCCAAGTTTATTCTCTTCTTGTCCCTCCGCCCCTCACAAGTCTAGAGCAGGACCTAACTCTGCACCGCGAAGCCATTACTCTGTGAACACCTGAGACTGATTTTCCTCTTGTCTGCTCATGTATTTGAAGTCTGCTGTCTTTTCTACTTTTGTAATTTTTCTGTTAGGAAGTCAGGTATATGGTTACTGTATGATTATGTAGAATTGAAATTGAAAATGTGGGTAATGATGATAAGAAACAGTAGGCAATTTTCATCTGTAATGTGACATTAATTCGAGAGAGAATTTATGTGTTAGAATTCAAAATAAAAAACCTGTTTTGTGCACAAGAATAGTTTGAAGTCACACTACATAAAGGCACATTATGAAGACCGTGAGGACCCATGCTTGAGGACACGAGGGTCCATGCCCTGTCTCTGTAAGGGAGGGGCTGGGTTCTCCTTTGCGTTGGGATGTATCACTTCCAGGTGTGTGAACTCAGGCAGACTAATGCATTCTCAGCAAACAAACTGACTACTAACAAGGCCAGCCATTCCTCCTCTGGGCAGTGGATCCTCCAAGGCTTAGGCTGGACATGAGCTCCCCAGTAGATTAGTACCTTGCTGAAATGTGTTTGTTATAACTCCAGTCCTGGGCTCTAAGGGAATGTGGTCCTCTCACGTCTCCTGCTGTGGGAGTCTCATATGGAAGGCAGTCTCAGGACATTCTTCTTGGTTGCCCTGGACAAGAACAGGTTTTTTGTTGGTTTTTGTGACTGAGTCCCACAAGAAAGCCCACCATGTAAAATTGATAAAACTGTCAAAGTGGCGGGCGTGGTAGGGAGGCAAGATCCTCACTTGGCCCTCAGATTTCCAGAGATACCCTCTGAAGGAATCTGTCTCTGGAGCCTAGTTTGAAAACCACTGCGCCTCATGATTGTGAGAACAAAGAAGGACCATTGGACACATCGAAACATCTGGAGGTTTGCATTGCTGAGCTAGCCATATCCTGTTCCCAGTGCCCTTGAGGCCTTCTCAGGGCAGAGGAGTGGTCAGACAGACCAAGGATGGAGTCCATGGGGGACATCTCAGGCCCAAAGCAAAAGGCCCTGGAAGGAATTAACCTTCCTTCATCACAGGACCTGAAGTGCTCATCATGGTTGGGAATCTCTGCACAACTCCTTTATGGTGTGGGTTTCTCGTCTTCCCCGGATACTTGGCTGAACCCTATAAACAGACACTTTGGTAGCACAAAAGTAGTCAGTAGCTCTTTGTGGTTTCACTTCCTTTATAGCATATGTGCATCCGCCCCAGTAAGCCTCCGTGGTTGGTGGCAGCAGAGGGCTTAGCATATGGGAAGTAATGACCTCTAGCGTAACCTGTTACCACTAGGTCCAGAAGGCTTTACAAGGACACTGAAAGTTCAGGGACAGGTAGCAAAGAAAAATGCACATTCTTGCATTTCTTATTTGAAAGTGTGAGTGAGCTTTTCTTCTTTCTCTTCCTCCCCAAAAGGGACAACTATACCCTTCAGATCAATCCCAACTCAGGCCTCTGTAATGAAGACCATTTGTCCTATTTCACTTTTATTGGAAGAGTAGCTGGTCTGGCAGTATTTCATGGGAAACTCTTAGATGGTAAGTAAAAGTCTTCAAGTGATAAAAATGGGTCAGTGCTGCTTGGGGTTTCCTTTTAGCTGTTTTAGCTTTCACATCATGGATTTTTAAGCAGAAGCTTCACTGGCTCTCTTAATTCGATCAAGTGTTTTTATGTTTTGCCCATAATGAATGTGCTTTTTCCTAGTATCATCTTAATTTGGGACTGAAGACATACTGTCTTCACAGCTAGAAAGCATTTTTTTAAACAAGTATAAAGTGCAGAACATTATGTACTTATACATTTTGTATGTTTACCAGAATAACTTTTCTTTAATGAAAGCTAGATTTGGTGACAGATGGAAAATCTCATTGAAAAAGTAATTAAAATGATCTGATCCATCCAATATCCTGTCATTGTTCCATTTGTCCCCAAATTATTACGTTTTAATGTGAGGGGTCTAAATAATCTCAAAACAACGTTACAACTCAGCTAAGACCTTAACCCTGAGGCAAGTGATACAAAACAATTTCGTTGTATTTAGAACAAATCACAGAAGAATTCAAGATATCCCGGAAGTTACAAGTCAGACCCCCTACCTGGCAATATCTGTAGGCTTATAATGGAAACATCTAGTGGATTTGGTCATTTCAAAACTGGCATCCTTACGAAAGCACTACAGAAATCACCAGTGAGGAAAAAGAATCTGATATATATATATTTTGTTTTTTAAGAGCTTGATGGTGGAGTGGTTGACTGTGGAAGACAGAGAATAAGATTTGAGATTGACATCACAGTTTCTGTCAACAAAGATACTTCCAGGGGAATTGTGTGAATTATATTTTGGAGCCTTAACTGTTCTAATAAATAATTGAACAGTACTTCTCTCATTAGTATATTTTTACTGCTAATTACTAGCTGATTTTGATGCTGTGACCTCAGTTCTTTACTTTTGGCAGAGAGCAGTAAACACTTTTTTCTGACTAGAAGGAAGCTATATTCACCCTTTCTGGGTCTGTATGCTGTATGAATAGATTTTAATCTGTCACTTTGGAATCAGGCCAGCAGATTATTTCAGCCTGTTCCAGTTCACTCCAGCCTTCTCAGAAGGTCAGTTCATTCTCCTTCTGCCAAGTGAGAAGAAACTGTTAGTGGCTATGGAGGTTACAGAGAAGTATAAGATGTGATCCTGACCTTGGTAAACTGCTATTTTAGTGGGGAAAAGAGGTAAAAACAAAAACAGAAGATTCACAGTGATAGTGTCCGAGCAGAAGGGAACACATGGAGTACTCGGAGGGGAAAGTGATTTGACTGGAGGCTCGGGGAACCTTCTCCAGGATAAGTGACACCTTGGGGTTGTTGGCATTTGGGCGTTCAGAGGCTGAGATCATTTCAAAAGAGCGAGGACCAGTAAGAGCCAGGGTTCCACAGAGGGGAATGGATAGAAGCAAAAACAAATCTGGGAGCCTTGGAGTGGCTGAAGTGGTCCCCACCAGGGTGCCCCAGGAATTGCAAAGCTGAAGCCAGAACACACGCTGATGTGCCCGTCAGCAAGCTCCTCGGCTTCTCACAGATGGGAAGACCTCTGTTGGCGAGGCACACTCTGCCCATGGTTGACTCCATGGTCTTTCCTCCCCAGACACTGGAGTCGGTCCGAGATTGCAGCTTAGGGCCACACCGAGACAGGGAGAGTTGGCCTGACCGCAGAGGGTGGGAGCTTGGTGGGTGAGGGCGAAGGAGCAGGGGCATGACCCTGAGGTGCTGGGGCTGGTGGGACCAGGGCCCCCTGTGAGGAGTGTGATGCCAACTTGCCTTGACCAGGTGATGTACAGGGTCCTGCAGGACACTTGCATGGGGGGAGGGTCTTTGTCACCGCTCTTGCCCTCTGAGGCCTCTGCCATCCCTTCCCAGGAGATGGCATGAGCCTTCTCCGTGGTCCTCGCATTTCCAGCACATCCCCTTCCTGTGTTAACTCCCCACTGCTGTCCAATCAGTGATACCGACACGCACGTGGAATTCTCACCTGGCTCTGCAGTGACCTCCTTTTATCCTCTGGGAGTATCCATACCCTCCGGCACCCCACGCAGGCTGCTGGCCCCTTCTCTGTCCTGTCCTCCCTAGGACACCCTCTGCTTCCACCCTGGCAAATCACTGGCAAGTCCCCAGTCTTCTTCCTCTGCTCAGAGTACCCTTTTCTGCCCCAGCCCAGATGCCTGATTTGCACTGCAGACTACTTGACCTTGAAGCTCATCTGTCACCTCCCAGGAGCCTTCTTGGCTCTCCTCGGCTGTGCCATCTCTCTTAGTACAGCGACTCTCCTTCCTGCCCCTGTCCCCCTGACCTGGCCTTGCCTCCATAGATTACTATGGAAGGTCCTCAGTTATTCCGACCCAGTTTTCTATTCGAGTTGAAAGCAAGTTGACCTTTGATTTCACGTTCTGAGGCACAGCAGTCTCGAAGACTTCAAACTAAGCCATTCTTTGTCTTTCAGGTTTCTTCATTAGACCATTTTACAAAATGATGCTGGGAAAGCAGATAACACTGAATGATATGGAATCTGTGGTGAGTAATTCCAGGTCACAGATAGGCCACCGTAGGTCACTCGGACCTTCTGGGAAGGTGCAGGAGACCATGTCAAATCATCACAGTGATTTGATGGGTATTGTCATTCAACGCGAACAGCAGGGAACATTTGTTTGAGGAGTTAACTGATCGCCCTAGTTTTCCTCATCAGCAAATCCTTGTTCCTGTTTCCTAGCGTGGTACTTAGGGTGAAGGCATCCACATTTCCGTTGCCTCTGCTGACCCGGCACAGTACTGCTATGAACAAATCAAATCCAAGGGCCAGCTGGAGACCTCACTGTAGCCTGTTTCCCACCCAAACCTGCTAGTACTGAACGTTGAGAGATGTGCCTGCTCTACCCCTCTGGGTTCTGACCTCCTAAAAATGGCAGAGGCAAAGGCTGAAACAACAGGAAGATTATCACACCGTCATCCTAGACACGCTATACAGGAGGAGCGTGAGAAAGGGAAACTTCTGAGAAGTTCTCCAGAGAGCGATTTGAGTTTTTGTGTTGCATTTAACTTCCTAATGTCGTCCGGACAGGCCATTATAGAGTTGAAAGGATTTTCTATAAAAACAAAAACCGACATGCTTTTGCTTCTGTTTTTCTTTTAACTTACCTGTTCCCATCTCCCCCCAGAGCATCAACCTCTTTGTCCATCTGGGGTATTGGCAGCTGTGCTTGAGTGCTGTGCCACCGGGCTAGGAAGCCCCTGTGTACCCTTGGCCTGGCTGTGGTGTGGCTGTGCCTTGCACGTGGCTGTGTAGATGAGCCCTGTGTCCCCACACTGACCGGCACGGACCTGGCATTCAGCTTCTTCTTGTTGTATGGGCTGGGGAGGGGAGCCAACAGGGCTCTGGAACCCGCTGCTGGCTTGTCATTCATGGGTGGGCAGGGATACACCTGCGGACACCCAGTCGCGGCTTTCGCCTTGTATTTGTGTTTCATGACTTTCATCGCTATGGGATGAGGAAGCTATAAGCACAGGCATTTCCGTGCTGAAAGTCTGATTTGATATCGCAGATGTACAGTCAGTGTTTTAAATACCACGTGCATATTATGAATCTCCCCCTTTTCAGAGGCTGTCCTGTCCCCGCTGGGAGATTCTCTGGGGCTGGCCAGGGAGAGGGGAACTGACGGCCCTGGATCTCCTGCTCAGGATTCTAAAATCAGAGTGACCGCCTTTTGTGCTTAAATTAAGCTGCACAGAGCAATAAAAGCACAGGAAAGGGCATCACCTAAAACCAGTGATATTTAGTTAGTTGAAATGTTTCTCTGTCCTTCCTATTTTCCCTTTGCTATTTTCACTCTTAAGAGATGGGAAGTGCCGGGTTCAGTGGCTCAGCCTGTCATCCCGTGCCTTTGGGAGGCTGAGGTGAGTGGATTGCCCGAGCCCGCGGGTTCGAGACCCACCTGGGCAACTTGACGAGACCTCATCTCTACAATAAATCAAAAGAATTAGCTGGGCGTCGTAGCGCGCGCCTCTAGTTCCAGCTACTTGGAAGGCTGAGGCGGAAGGATTGCCGGAGCCCAGCAAGTCGAGGCTACGGTGGCCGGGAGTGTCCACTGCCTCCAGTCTGGGCGACAGAGTGAGACTCCAACTTAAAAAAAAAGAGAGAGAGATGGGAAGCATGTTGATGTCTATGTGTTAAACCGTGTAGACAACATAGCACGTGGCGGCTCCCACCACCACCTTGGAGAAGTCCCTTCCACTGTGTTTCACCGAGGACAAGATTCAACTACAAACCTGTTAACAGCCAAAACATTTTTTTTTTTTTTTGAGTCGGGTCTCACTTTGTCCAGGTTGGAATGCAGCGGCACAATCACCGCTCACCGTAGCCTCAACCTCCTGGGCTCAGGCAGTCCTTCTATCTCAGCCTCCCAAATAGATGGGACTATGGGCATGCACCACCACGCCTGACTAATTATTTGATTTCTTGTAGAGATGCAGTCTTGCCGTGTTGCCCAAGCTGGTCTCAAACTCATGGCTCAAGCGATTCTCACACCTCAGCCTCCCAAAGAATCACAGGCATGAGCTGCCACATCGGGCCCCAAATATTTTTTTGTTTGTTTATATCTTTTTTTTTTTTTTTTTTTGAGTTGGAGCCTTACTCCATCGCCCAGACTGGAGTGCGGTGGCACGCTACCGGCCACCACAGCCTCGACCTGCTGGGCTCCAGCGATCCTTCCACCTCCGCCTTCCAAGTAGCTGGAACTACAGACGCGTGCTACCACGCCTGGCTAATTTTTGATTTATTATAGAGATGAGGTCTCGCCAAGTTCCCTGGGCGGGTCCTGAACCCGTGGGCTTAGGCAATCCACTCACCTCGGCCTCCCAAAGTGCTGGGATTACAGGCTGAGCCACGGAGCTGGCCTGTTTGTTTATATCTTAAAAAAAGAGATTTGGTTCGGGGTGGAGCAGGAGACCTCACGATAGTAAGTAATGTACTTCCTGAGCGTTCTGCATGAAATTGCCTTAGGAAGAATTAATTATTTAAAGACATCAAACAAATATGTTGTCTTCCGGAGGAAAAAATGCTTAATTTTAGTTTCTGTGTCATCTCTATAGGATAGTGAATATTACAACTCTTTGAAATGGATCCTAGAAAACGATCCTACCGAACTGGACCTCATGTTCTGTATAGATGAAGAAAACTTTGGACAGGTACGTGCGGGTAAACCCTATTTGCTTTGGCTTGCAAGGGGCATTTTCTGCTTCACAGGCTGTAACCCAGCGTGGTGAGACAATTAACAACCACCACCAGGGACTTTCGATGTTAATTATCATCTCCTTTCACTCATTTTCATGCCAGGGCACCAGACTCTCTTCCAGGGAAGATGTAGAAATTCCAAGAGAAATGTGCCACTCCTTCACTTAAAGCAAATCTGAATGCGAATGTTTCATTTGTGCCTTGGTTTTAGGACTTACGTACTTCAGAAGATAGTGTGATTTCTGAGCGATGTAAACATAGGACCAGGAGTGGGTGATCTTTAAGGGGCCCTGGTTCTTTTCTGCTCTGTGGTTCTGTTGTCATGGTGACATTTGTCTTCCGGGCTTGGCACGGCAGGCCCAAGTTTTTCTACCATTCGGTATCGCTTTGACCTCACACTGTGGTTCAGGCTGGACTAATCCCAAAAGTGAATTTCCAAGATAGAGTTGCTGCTTGGAATTTTCATGGTCATCCTGAGGTTCTGTAAAGGATGCCTTTGTCTTAGATCTGGAAAGTTTGCTCCATTTCAGGAATACCGTGGTGCCTCTTGGGAGGGATTCAAAAGTTATGATCTGGCCCCAGGACCTGTCCTTTCACAAGAGCCCAGAGATATTGCCCATCTCAGACCAAATCTACATGTCCTTGAAATGAGCTAGATTACAGAACCTGTTGTAAGGTTGCCAGCTGGAAAATGAAATAGCACTGTTCTCTTTTTTGCTTCGGAGATTATTGTATCCCACTCTCAACAAATGCATTTACGCTCTCGCTTCGCGTGTACTGCGCTCAGTCTTACAGATGAAATTACACAATAAATCAAAAAATCAGCCGGGCGTGGTAGCGCGTGCCTGTCATTCCGGCCACGGGAGGCTGAGGTGGAAGGATCGCCGGAGCCCAGCGGGCAAGGCTGCGGTGGCCGGGAGTGGCCACTGCACTCCAGTCTGGGCAACCGAGTGAGACTCCAACTCAAAAAAAAAAAAAGAAATTACAAATCAGGTCCCTGCCCTCTTGAGTTAGAGAAATCTTGCAGAATCTCAGAGAAAAGAAGCTGATGCAACTAGATACAAAGGGAATGATGACAGCTGGGGGCAAGAATTGTTGAACAAGGAAACAATCACACAAAAGTATCAAAATCACTCTGTGTCGTGTGTGTGTTTGAGCCAGGAAACTTCCAGCCAGTCATGTGAGTCCTGGGTGGGTAGGCCTCAGGAAATCCAAATTGTCCTTCCCAGTTGGCTGAGGGCTCATAGAAGAACTTCAAGTATGGGAGACAGAGGACCTTGTGACTTACTGTAAATGATCAATGAGCACGTGAACAATCTCCTTCTTTCCCCCCACTGCCCCTCCTCCACCCCTCGTTTTTGCTCTGTATTGTGCTTCATGCCTAAGGATCCTCCCAGATAATGCTGCTTTTCTTCTTGGGGTCCTTGTGATGAGGCGGGGAGGGATCTTTTCTGCTCCACCCCTCACCGGGGGCTTCCCCAGGACTCCAAGCACCAAGTATCTTCCAGCCCTTGTCTGTGTCCTTCCTCGCTGCTTTCAACACTAAATGCTAAGCCGGGCTCAGTGGCTCAGCCTGTCATCCTGTGCTTCGGGAGGCTGAGGTGAGTGGATGGCCTGAGCCCGCGGGTTCGAGACCCGCCTGGGCAGCGAGACCTCATCTCTACAATAAATCAAAAAATGAGCCGGGCGTGGTAGCGCGCGCCTGTAGTTCCGGCTACTCGGAAGGCGGAGGCAGAAGGATCGCCGGAGCCCGGCAGGTCGAGGCTGCGGTGGCCGGGAGCGGTCACTGCGCTCCAGTCTGGGCAACAGAGTGAGACTCCAACTCAAAAAAAAAAAAACACTAACTGCTCCCTCCCCACAGAGAGGCCTGACGGTCACAGTGCCTTCACTCCACAGCTCTCACGCTTGGTCTCCAGGCTCCTGGCACGGCTTGCTCCTGTGCTGGCCCCGCAGACCCAGGTGGTCCTCTGCCAGCCACCCTCTGCCCTCCACTCTTCCGTGTCACCCCGCTAGCTAGATGTCCTCGTCCTGCTGTGACTCCCACTGCATCCATCTCCCCTCATCTCCCAGCTCCTTCTCTTGAACCCCCACCTGCCTTCTAGTCTCATACTTCCTGGGGCTGACTCCCCTCCTGAACAACCTCTGGAAGGCCCGTGGGGCCCAGTGCTAAAGTCCTCCCCAGCCCCACTTCTGCTCTGGTCTCCTCACCCCCGGCCCCTCCCGCCTAACCCTCTTTCCCCTCTTGTCACGTCGTCTCCCCCTGCCAACAGATCACCGTGTCCTGCTGGTTCATTCTCCCCAGGGCCGTGTCCGCTCACTCCCCTAGTTCATGCCCTGCTGGCTTCTTGCCTGTTATCACAGCTCCTGTCAGTCTCCATGCCCTATTTTGCTCCTCTTCCCGGTGGGCCCTGATGCATCTCAAGTCTGTGCCCCCATGTGGAATATTTCTGAAACGCACTCCTGAGTGTGTCCTTTTTCTCCCTGGCCGTCCTGTAAGCTTCACTGTCCACGAGAACTCGTTAGCATGGCCTATGCCCTTGGTACTCCAGCACTGCCCGCCTCGAGCCTAGTCCTCTGACACCTCCTTCCTCGACCCTGCCTGCTTGGAACGGTCCCCAAGGACGCCTCAGTACCAGCCGCTGGTGGTTCGGTGCCCTGCCGGTCCTGCTACCTTCTCATTCTCTCCTCCCTCGCTTCTTCTCATACCGTCTTCTAGTGGCTTAAGGTCTTGGTATCTCCAGTGCTCAGCCTGCAGTTGGGCAACTGAATGAACAGTGTTCACCTGGGGCTTTCACGTTAATAGTTATGTCAATAGCATTGCTAGGTAAAGTCTTAAGTATGAGGAAGCAAAAGCAGTTGAGTCTCAGAGGCTGTTTTTTCTTATTTTCTTTCAGACTGGACCTGTTGAAGGGTTTTCAACTGCCAGTTTTCAAAGGATGAGACACTGATAGCCGTCCTGAAATTGTCTGCCTTTCATTTTTAATCTATGAAAGAAGGCATAGAAGTAAAGAACCAAGGAAGATTTAAAATCAGTTGTGTGTCAAATGCGTTAAAAAGTCTCTTTGTGTATCCACTTGCAGAAAACCACATGACCAACTAAAACGAACACAGTGCAGAGAAGTGTTAGCAGTGCCATAGCTAGAAGTGACCTGGGAAGCCTCTTTTATTTACAACTAAATGTAACCATTTCCTCCTAATACAGGGAAACCAAACGCAGGATGTTTGGATCCTCTGATAAAGATTCTGATCCTTGTAGGTCATGCCAGTTTCTCCTTAAACACACTCATCTAACCTCACTTCATGTTGTGGCATCTCCTGACTTTTGGATAGAGTAATACAGTCGTCAGAGCAGGCCCAAGAAATGAGTGAGCCCATGACAAGGTGCCCATTTGGTTTGCGAGAGGTAACCTGATCCACAGGGGACCCGTGCTTTTGTTTTGCACTCTGGGGAGGAATTCAGAGCGAGTTAAGCTGCCGGGTATTGATCTCACCTCTCACTTCCAGTCTGTCGTCACCAAGCTCTGGTCATGTCCCTTCCAAGCATTTCTCACCTCCGTCCATCCTCCATGTCATTCTACCGCCAGCGCCCAAGTCCATGCTACTGTCTTCTCTCGTAGACTGCTGCTGACCGGTCTCTTTACAGCCACTGTACCTTCCTATAGTGGCAGAGTGCCTTTTCAGAATGTAAAACGACCGTGTCATTTCTCTGCCAGAAACCCTCAGGGGCGTTCCACTGTCCTTGAGATAAAGACTCAGATGCTTAATTTGTCCTGCGAGGTCCTGCACGGCCTGGCCCCCCCGATTCCTCCTCAGACTCGCTTCGTGTCACACTCACCCCTCGTGCTTTCTCGGCTTGGTCCCACTGGGCTTCTTGAGCACAATCGGCTCCTTCCTGCCTCAGGAACTTTGCTTATGCTGTTCCTTCTATGGGGAGCACATTCCCACTCTTAAGCTCAGACGTCCCTTCCTCAAAGAAGTCGGCCGTCAACATAGACCATCTACTTCAGAGAACCTTCCATGCCATCCTTGTGGCAGGTACCACAGATGACTTTGCACTCATTTGTCTGAGTGTGTGTTTAGCCTTGGACGCTCCCTCCAGGCTTTGTCCCGGTGATGACAGCAGCGTACCTGCCTTTTGCTTTTTGCTCTCCCTTGTTGCCACTAGCACGTGCCTGGTGCGTGGCAGGTGTGCTCAGAACACAGTTGTCCTGGAGACACAGGTATGAGCCAGATGCTCGTTCAAGTCTCTCGTTCAGTTCTCTGCAAGGTCCAGGGCGTGGTTCAGTTGATTCTGAGCCACAAGGAGTCCCAGGCCTCTCTGATGATGCCAAAAGACCAAGTTGTTTCCAGGCTGGGGCTGAGCACGGACGGGCAGTCAGCCTTCGACTGCATTTTGAGCTTTTTTTTTTTTCTTCTTCCATTTCACGGTTAGAAATATCAGACCATGGAATTTGGTAGCTGCTGTTTCATGTAATGAAACTGCAGCTGTTGGCTTTATTTTGCAATTTGCTTCTTTCTGATAGGTGAAAGTCTGGAGCAGCAGCTTTCTGGGGCCTGATATGAATGTTCCCACTGAAAAAATTTCAGTGTTTGAATGACCGTCCTGTGCTGAGCAGGAAGAATAAACCATATGTCCGTGCACTGGTGTACAGGCATTTGCATGTATGCGTTCCCCCTGCCCCCCGGGGGAGGAGACCTTTTAGAGCTGTAACAAGTAAAAATTCCTTGGTGAAGGTTCAGCAAAGCAGCATCTGATCTATTTTGAAGAGGCCCTGGGAGTATGGGGTTCTAGGACTGTACAGCGGGGAGAGGAAGAGAGTGGACACGGCCATGTAGCAATCATCTTTAGGACCGGGCCTGAGTTAGGCTAAGCCTTACTTTCTCAACAGAAGGATGGCCCCCAAGGAGACAAAACTTGGTTCTTGAAGATCGTCAAAGACATTAAAATGTTCTCTGGCCCTCCCCAAGGCAGCAGGACATACCACAGACCCACAGTGGATCTGCGTGTTAAGGTTTCGTGGAGAAAGACCATTGGGGAGGGAAGCTCTGAAAAGGCTCTTTAGAGGGCGATAATGAATAAAAAGGTTGAGAAACACAGCGTTGGGGAAAGGAGTGAGTGGACAGGCAGAAACTACCCATGAGGAAGAGGGGTGAGGGGCAGAGCAGGTCCTGGCAGAAGCCAGAAGGAACCAGAATGAGAGCCCCGAGGTGGACATGGGTCCCGGAAGGACAGAGGCGCCAGCTTCTCATGACCAGTCATGGAAACAGACAGGTGGCCACTAAAGAAATGGGAAGTTAGCGAGTCCGGAGTTGACTCAAATGCCTAAGGACTGTCGGTACAGTTGCTTTGATGTCTGCTGGAAATGACTTGGGAGGGTGAGGAAGGCCTGGCTGGGGACGGTGGGACAGAAGGGGCATCCCCGTGGGGAAGGGTGTGTAGGGTGCTCAGTGCCCACAGGCCGCATCCCATAGGGGCGTGCTCGCCGTCCAAGAATGGAGTCTGCAAAGCGAGTGAGCCTGAACATGCTTGGTACGATCCAAAGTTTCTCAGTGAACTTCTGAGAACTTTGGCCTCAGGCATCTTTGGAAGATCGGGGAGATGTGTGTAAATCCAGAATTTTTAACCTGCCATGGGGAGGATTCTAGTTCTGGGTGGGTCGTACTTCCCCTCAGATCTTCCTTTGATCTTTATGAGCAAGGGAGTTTATGGTCAGGCCAGTCAAATTAATGAAATAGGAATGTTTCTCCCTGCAGTTTTCCCCAGGAGTATTTATTGAGCACCTGCTGTGTGCCGGCCATTGTATTAGTGTTCTGCATGTGGGTTCCTTGGGAGTCCAGACATAGGGAATAAGGATGCTGACCGGGAAGGCCAGTGTTAGGGCAGATGACGATGGCAGGAATTCACGCCAGAGAGAAGGTGCCAGAGACCCCTCACCCAGGGGAGGGATACTGGGGTTCTGGCACTGGCTCCCGCTACAGTTTCCTGTTTATCCTTTGTCACAGACATGTCACCTCCTTGGGTCCGCCTCCTCCCGGGAATGCTTTTCACGCTCCTGGTTAAGGCCAGAGCACTCCCACATTTCCTGTAGGAAATGGGCAGGATTGAGAGAACCTCCTGTTTGACTTTGGCCCTGACTTTGCTCACCTCCAAGCCAGGCTGCTTTGCCACTAGGAGCCACCAAGGGTCTACAGCCCGTGTGTGCTGTGGCATCTGCTGCTCCATCCTGAGGAGGTCAAGTTCTTCCCTGCCTCGTAGGGGGACGGCTGAAATCAAGAAGTGTGAAGTGTGGAGGGAAACAAACACCCATCAAGGCTATAGTTAGGCAGGTGCACAGGCGGAGTGGAGGTCCACCAGGGAAACTGGACAGAGTCAAGCTGTGGCATCCGGCGTACTCGGGCCGGCCTTAGCTGTCTCAACTTCTGCAGGGCCTCACACTCAACCAGAAAAGGAGGTGACGGCAACCTGCCTGTAGGAGTGATGCAGTGGTGTAAGCTGCCTCAGGGCGTGGACCTACACCCACAGCACAGGCGGCAGTCTGACATCTAGGCCCTGGCAGCCAGTTGAAACAGTGGCATCGGAACCGTGGTCATTGCTTCCCACAAAAATGTCATCTGGAAGGACCCAAGAGGAATTGGGAATTCAACACCACTGAAAGCTTGGGGATTTACCCCTAACCTAGTGGCTTAGGGAATGGAACTAAAAACCACCCTTGCTGTACCTGTCTGCAAGCCTTTCTCTCAGTTCCCAGTAGAGACACCCATCATCAGAATCCATCATGAAGCTGGCCAGCTGCCCACAGAGGGATGTGTCGCTTAAATTTTTATTGGTTTGTCTGATTATAAAATACTGGCCTTTGTAACAAAAATAAAGCCAGTATAACAAAAATATATAAATACCAATTATTTTCCCCCACTATCTCAAGAAAACTCATTCTGGTTTATATCTTCCAAAACTCTTCTTTTGTCAGCACACACACATTTTTGTTTTATGGAAATGGAACTGTACTGTGTATAGTTTTCAAATGAATATATCACAGATATTTTTCCATGTCAGTAAATATACCATATTAATGGCTACCTGGAATTCCGTTTTATAGATGTACCATCTATTTTTCAATCATGCCTTGTTGGTAGGCATTTAGGCTGTTTCAATATTTACTATGTGAGCATAATTCTGTATAATCCAGGAATATTCATATATATAGCATATAGATCGTGTAATCTTGGAATATGTGTTTTGTATACTTGACTAATTTTTGCCTTGATAAATTCTAAAGGAGAAATTGTGAAAAGAGATAACGTACTTTAAGATGTTGGCGTTTAATGCCAGATTATCCTCAAGAGATTGACCAATTAGACTCCCCCCAACAGTGTGTGTCTCTGCACTGGGAGACCCTGGCTTGTTTTGCTCTTTGCTTATTTTCTAACCGGCTGCTGCTCTGGAAGAACCAGAACTGTTTTTCACCTTTGGTCTCCCCCCCTTGTCTTGTCTGCGGTTGACCCCCCTCATTCATTCGGTAGCCTTGGGGAAATTACAGCTCCCAGGCAACACCAGAGGAGGCCGTGTGAGCCAAGAAGGAGGGATGGAGGAATCCCGGAAGGGGTGCATTGCGGGTTATTTACTTTGCCTGCCTGGAACAGCAGCCCGCTGAGGGGGCCAGGCTGGGAGGAAGGATTCCATCTTAGTGTCTCCGAGCCTCATGGGATGCCACCTCCGTATCAAGAACTGCACTTGGATTTATTAGCTTGTCATTGCTCTGGCTCTGTTAGAAAAACTCCACGACTGCAGGGAGCAACGCGGCAATTTTTGAGGAAGAATAAATAGGGAGGGGAAGAAAAACCCGTATGAGACCTACTGAAACATAGGACAAAAGGTCTATGTGAACACTGTCCACAAACCTCCAAAAACTGGCAAGAACTGGAAATGTCTTAGGATAGGAAACGCCCCCACCCTCCTCACCCACCAAGTGAAAACTGATGGATTCCATCCCTGATGTGGCCTGTGCAGGGCAGGGGCCGGTGATCCCTTGAGAAAATGGAGACACTGAGGAAGGATTTCAGGAAATGCAACCACGGGTTTCAAATCTACGTTGAGCCCAGTAAAGAGCTATATCAATTTGGCAGGAAATAGAGTTCTGTCATATAAGAAAATGAGATCCCTTCCTGGTAAAGAGAAAAAGGAAAAATAAAAAGATGTAAAGAGACTAGATCAACAAACAGCGTGTTTTCATTGGAAAAGCCTCTCCCTGTGACTGGACGCAAGAGACGCCATGGGACATGATCGGGGTGCAAGTGATTGGACCAAAGGGCTCAGTAGTGTCCTGGACGTGCGGCAGGGGTGGCGAGGCATCCCTGAGAGTGACCTCTGCCAGAGCACAGATTTCATGAGCACTTGGAATCTGGGTCCCTCCGGAGGATATGACCCTGACGTTCCCTCTGGAAAGTCCTCTCTCCATGGCTTGGCTTACTCTATGGTATACCTGGCAGGTGTAGGAAGAGTCTACAGGGAACCGTCCCAAAACATTGTCCTTCCAGTAGGGAGCTGTGGGTGGTGATCTTCTCCCACCTTTTTTTTTTAATTTCTGCAATGAGAATAGAGTTCTATTTTAAAATGGTAGGCCTCTCTCCCTTCCCTTCTGCTGGTGACTGCTTCATAAGTCGTGGTGTTAAACTCAGACTGGGTCACAGCATGAAAGGTGCTGCCCGTATTGCAGCTGCTCTAAGGGAGGGAGCTGTCAGGGCAGAGGAGGGCATCTGTGTGCAAACAAATGCCTCGTTTTCAAAAGGCAGATGGGTCAGCCTGCTTCAGCCTGGCTTCTCTAAGTTTCTTTCTTTCTTTCTTTCTTCCTTCCTTCCTTCTTGCTTTCCTTCTTGCTTTCTTTTCTTCTTTCTTTCTTTCCAGTTTCTGTGTTTGCATCTTTGAAAGAAATTTCATGGATCTTTTTTATGACTGTACAATTTAATTTTCAGAAATGCATACATTAGAATTTGGATCGCTATAGTCTTGATGGCTGTACCCTGTTCTTTTCTCTTGACTAATTAATTAATTTCTTCTCGATTAATGAATAGCAGATTTAAAAAATGTTCTTCTCCACTACTGCTAATATATGAAGAATAATTAAAACCCATAAATAACCCTAAAATAATTTGCCTTTCATGATAACATCTTTAAATGTGTAGCATCTTAACAACTCGAAAGCCTTATTAGACATTCTCTTGTGCACAGAGCCTACTTGCTGGGAGTATTTCTGAATAAGTTTTGTTTCTCTTCCTTTTGTAGTAAAATGTTATTACTCGGTCATAATATGCGAGATAACTTCATGATAGTGATTATTGTTTTATCTTTGTAATTACAGACATATCAAGTGGATCTGAAGCCCAATGGGTCAGAAATAATGGTAACAAATGAAAACAAAAGGGAATATATTGAGTACGTATACACCTGTTTACATCCTTTATTTTCATAAATTGAACAGCCTATTTGCTTGGCATTCTGTGCCAAGACAGTTCATGCATGTTATAGGCATGTGTGTCTTGGTGAGTTTTTAACAATATGAATTCAGTCTGTGGCTTGGGCTAATGGGAAATTGAATGTGGGATGGAAGGTCTGTCTCATATCATGACTCCAGTGAGCTGCCCTATAAGGAGCAGAGGAAGGAGAAATGGTGGACATTACTGAGTGGTGTGACAAATACTCTTGGAATGTGTGGATATCCCCTTTACAATTTTGAATTACAACAGTGGAACACTGTTTCAATGGCCGGTAGAATTAGGGGCCAACAAAGACAAAATATTGTGTCTCCCTCCTGACTTCTTTTTAATCATGGAAATGTACAAAAAACAGTTAAAATGGACAGGAAGAATTCAGCACATGCAAACATGATGAATTTTATTTCTGAGATTTGTCATTTTCGTAACTCAGTCTCAGCCTCAGTTGGTGGAAGATCACGCCAAGTCCTTTTGGAAGTCTCACTTAACATTTCCAGAAGAAATTATTACTATTACTATTAAGTAATCCTAGGACACCCATCCCAGGCAGTTCTTTCTCTGTCGGCCACATGACATTTTCCTTTTTGTTATCTGTGTGTGCTTCAAACACATAATTCTGGGGTCTTGGAAGGATCCCTGGGTCACCGTTGCCAACTAACCCAGGTGAGCATGGCCATGTGTGATTCCTGGGTCCTGGGTTTGCCTATTTTGTGGGGTATCTGCCATGCCTGAGTGCCTGGTTTATATCCAGCACTCCATTTCAACAAGCTGGGCTCCCAACTTGCTTCTCGATTGAAATTGGCAGAGGTCTTGAATTCAGATAATTAACTAAGGGTCATAGCATCTTTTAGTGTGATCTACAAAGAAAATCCTCTGACCTTCCTAATTAGGAAGAAATGGAGAGTGTGGGAGACCCTGTCAAAGAGGAGAATTATCATCTGGCAGACTTTTTTTTTTTTAACTCTCAAGTGAAAAGCAAGTTACGCTTAATAAACTAAACATGAGTTACTCCCATTCTTACCTGCCCATATCAGTTGACACACTTGCTCTGAACTTGGACTGTTTTTGCAGATGACACCCTGGCAGACACCAATGTCTTCTCTGAGAAATACAAACTGTGGATAAGTTTTAAAAACTCTCCAGCCCAGGGTGACCAGGGTCTCAAGTCTGAGGAGCCTGACATGTGTGATATGTGTTATGCAGCATTCTTTGCAGTTAATTCTTTTAGTGTTCAAATTTGATAGGAGCCAGTGCCGGGCAGGGTTCAGCTACCTTTATTGAAGCAGTGTGATTGGAATCTCCAACTGCTCTCTGTACTCCCGGGTGCCAGAAGAACGCTGTGGGACTGATGGTTGCAGCCCAGGCGGTAAAGCCTGATGTGGCTGAGGGGTGGTGATGCTGCAGGCTGGTCCTCGCGAGCCGTTACCCTGGTACCGCCTCAGCGGTGAGAGCCCTTCATGATGACGAAACACCTCTGATGGAATCCAGAGTGGATTTGCCTCGTGATAAATTCTGCTCTTCCCTAAGCATTGTCACAGGGAAAATGGTTCCGGTGAAATTCGGTTGCTTAAAGAGGTCTTACGACTCAGCCTCCAGATTTGGGTGCGAAAGTATTAGTACAAATCATTTTGCTGATAAAGTTTATATGTCATTGTTGCATATCAGTACGTTGGATGCTAGAACGAAATATATAACAAAGCACTATGCTGACTACTCTTTTTACAAATACCGGGGGTGCCAAAAAAAATTGTTTACATATTCTAAGAGATGTTATCTATGTATTACTTTTAGTTCACCATAATCAGAAGTGTCTGGACGCTCATGGTAACCACTCTGTGCACCTCTTGTCATTGCAAAAGTCCAGGATGACTTGTGTTCCTCTTTTGTTATCGATATATATTGAGTATCACAACGTTTTTCCTTTCTTAAAATGTATATACATTTTTGGCACCCTCTGTGTCCATACATATTTATTCATGCCCGTGGGTGTTTATATGTACACTGTGTATCATGCACACATGCCTGTGTTGCACACCCCACAACCTTTTCTCCTTTCTCTGCATAATTACATTCATCAGGCAACTTTAATCAACTAAGCTTGATGGAGGAGACGTCAGTTATTCTTTTGAAATCCTTGGTGAGGTTTTAGTTTTTGTTTTATTTTTTAAGTCGGAGTCTCACTCTGTCGCCCAGGCTGGAATGCAGTGGCATGCTCATGCCCCGCCCCCCAGTGTCTACCTACTGGGCTCTGGCGATCCTTCCGCCTCAGCCTCCCAAGTAGCTGGAACTAAAGGCGTGCGCTACCACGCCCGGCTCATTTTTGATTGATTGTGGAGATGAGGTCTCGCCAAGCTGGGTGGGTCTCAAACCCGCGGGCTCAGGCAGTCCACTCGCCTCGGCCTCCGCAAGTGCTGGGATGCCAGGCTGAGTCACCGAACCTAGCCTAGGTTTTTGATGGCTGTTCCAATGATTCCTGGAAGAGTTCATGCTTAAACTGTGGGTGCGCAGCAGCAGACACTCCCTTTGGCTCTGCGAGTAGAGGTTTCTCTCCTTTCCCCTGTCTGGCGAGGTGTAGTCACTGTGGTAAAGGAATCAGGGAGTGCTCATTGACAGCAAGGATGCCTAAATATTGTTCCCTCTTCTTCTGCAGCTTAGTCATCCAGTGGAGATTTGTGAACAGGGTCCAGAAGCAAATGAATGCCTTCTTGGAGGTAAGCCGTGCTGGTCAGGGCTCTCTGCTGCATCCCTCTAGTCCAGGTCGAGGGCGACGAGCTTTCCTCCTCCTGCCCGTGTGGCAGAGCTGATCACACACGGAGAGGTGAGGAGGCCAGGACTGCACAACTCACGCCCTTGACCAGTCTCCAAGATAAGAGTGCTCAGCTGCTGTGCCACCACCTTTTTTTTTTTTTTTTTTTAAAAACGTGGTCTCTTGCTTGGCTTCTCTGATTTTTTAATCTGTCTTCACTGTTTCCAAAGAGGCCTTTTTACCAACTTGATCTAGAACTTTATCCTGGTTTTGGGTGGTGTCCGAGAGAAGGTTGTCTTTTGCGGGTGACAGGTTCCGAGAAGCCTGAGGACTTAGGACTGCACAGTTGCAGGCAGGTCCCCATCGTGCCACCCCTCCATGGATCAACGCCTCCCAAGCATGTTTTTTTGTTTGTTTTTTGTTTTGTTTTGTTTGAGTTGGAGTCTCACTCGGTCACCCATACTGGAGTGCGGTGGCCGCTCCCAGCCACCAAAGCCTCGCCTGCTGGGCTCCGGCGATCCTTCCGTCTCAGCCTTCCGAGTAGCTGGAACTGCAGGCGCACGCTACCATGCCCGGCTAATTTTTTGATTTATTGTAGAGATGAGATCTCGCCAAGTTGCCCAGGCGGGTCTCGAACCCGCGGGCTCAGGCAATCCACTCACCTCATCCTCCCAAAGCACGGGATTACAGGCTGAGCCACCGAGTCCGGCTCCAAGCATGTGTTTTAATCAATTCCCTTTCTTTGTGGCTATTTGAATAACTCCTCACAGATTTTCTCCTAGACAGGTACACGGAAAACGCATTTTCTCAAGCCGAGTTGTCATTTTACACCAACCACCCGGTGCCACCTTTCACCGTGCTAAGGAGTGAATCAGGCATGTCCCAGATCCAAGTTTTGAAAGCCAGTGACACTCCCAGGCCCCTGACAGAGTGCGGGATTCATCTTTTTAAATAGTGTTTCACTTGGACCAGAAGTGAGATTCTTTTGAAGTCCAATAGGGAGTCTGAGTTACTTAAAAGCCACCACGGGAGGAAGCCCCTTGTCCACATGATTACTTCCCTGAGCTGATGCAGAGATTTTGTGTGGCGACACTCTCTTCAGCTTGCTCCAGCACGGTCACCTGTGCATGGTGAATAAAGCCCAGGTAGAACGCTCAGCAAAACTCAGTCTTAGGGACATAAAACGTGAGGGCAGACCGGACAAGCGCAGGTTTCATACTGCCTGTCGATAAGAAACCCCAGGAAGCAGATTCCTGTCCCCACCCCCACTGCCCCCGGTGAGCCCTGCTTTCGGAAACTCAGCGTAGCCACAGGCAAGGCCCCGCAACACCGAGAGGCTCTTCCTGGGTCACTCCACTCTTTCCTGGTCAGCAGGAACTGGAATGTGGTTCTCTGTACTCCAGTCTCTTTCCCCCCCGTCACGCTGCCTCCTCCTGTGTTTCCTCTCCATGCCTTCCGTGTGGTATTTTTAAACAAGTGTCTTGCACACCTGTGGTCTGTGCATTTTAGGACACCCTGACTCACAGCAGTGTTATCAATGGCTTTTAAAATTCACCTGGAAGCAGTGACCCTACAGCATCCCATAGGGTCATCGGGTTTCAAAAATGACTCAAGTCTCTGAACTTTGTTTGATTCTACCATTTTTTTTAAACGTTTATATTGTGACGATGCACTTGTTATGGGAATTATAGTTGCTTAATACTGTCACTAATGTATGACTCCATCGGGTAAAGATATATTCTTTTCTGGTGGTGCATGGTGGCTCATGCCTGTAATCCCAGCACTTTGGGAGGCTGAGGTGGGAGGATCACTTGAGCCCAGCAGTTTGAGACCAACCTAGGTAATATGGTGAGACTGCATCTCTACAGAAAGGAAAAAAAAAAACAAAATATTTTTTTCTGACTAACCAGAAACGCTTGTTTTTTCCTGTTAAATTTGTAGTTTTTCAGGAAAAAAGGCGTTTAGGGTGATTTTTCTTTTTCTTTCTTTCAGGGATTCACAGAACTGCTTCCTATTGATTTGATTAAAATTTTTGATGAAAATGAGCTGGAGGTTTGTATCATAAACGTTGTGTTATGCAAAGCCGATTTTTAAAGGTCTCTCTCATTACTTTACAAATGGTATCTCCATATTATTTGATCCATCATGGCCTGGAGAGTAAGTTTAGATGAATTCTGTTACATTTCTCTTCTGGGGCTTGTTTGTCGATGTGGGAGTGAGGAATTGTAAAAGGAGTCCATCAGCATTTCCCTGCCCATGAGGGGGCGATTCTGGAACAAGCCAAGTAGCAGAGGCTGCTGAGCTGAGCTGGGCTTGGCTTTGGCCCTCTGCCCATATGAGGAAAATGGCTGTACCACGGAGAGCTGAGGTACGCAGCAGCCTTTTGGGTAGCAGCAACCTGCTTGCAGGACAGGCTGACTGACCATCCTGTGCCACCTCCCCTTCGCCACCACGGCCACCGAATGGGGAGTCCCGCCACAGGGTGGCTGTGAGCATCTACCAGGGACTGTAGAACAGAGGGCTCCTTGAACTTGAAGTCGCATCTGTTGAGTAAAGAAAAAAACATCGAAAAGAAACGAGGTGGAAGCCCTGTTGTTGAGTATAATGATTGCCTGTTTCAGCTTCTTGGTGTTGACATAGATGAGAAATAGCAATTTAGAAACCAAAGGAATATCTCGCCCTTTGTCATGGCAAGAGAAACCAGAGAAGGAAGGCTGTGTCTGTCAAGCTGCTGCTGACAGGACCCAGCCATTGGCCCTGCCCACAGCCAGTGAGGCATTCCTCACAGACTGGCCTTCTATGCCTGTGTCTTGAAATGGAGAGTTCAAGATGGGCAATGTTACAGAAATCATATACTGCAAGCAAGCCTTTTGTTTTACAGGTGGGGAAACTGAGGCAGGGAGCAGCAGGATTTACCCAGGAAGATTTTGGTACAGTCAGGCCTAGGAAGCCAGTTTAGAGGCTTCTGGTTTCGTTCCTTTTCCATTGTATTCCAGTAACTCTGTGGGAATACCATATGCATTCATCCCCAGGAAGCAACATACTAAGAAAAGCAAACCTTAGGCTCATCGATCCGTCAGAGAACCAGTTTTTGCCTTAGCCTATGTCTGCAGTCCATGAATCTCTGGGCAGATGAGTTGGTTTGCCGTCAGCTTAGTTGATCGATCTGGAGGGGATAAGTTTCTGCTGTTATAAGCACTGATTGTTTTGTGAGTGGGGAGATATTTTCAGATATTCAGACGAATGACCTCTCGGGAGAGAAGCCGGCCAGGGCCATGTACAGATGCTACTGGCATGTAAGAAAATCCAGGGGCCCAGTGCTTCACGTTTGAGGGTCGGGAAGATGATGGTGGAGCTTCTAGTTCCGAAGAAAATGTCCTGGCCTTGTACTGGGTTAGCACCACTCCCCTTTTCCTGTGCTGCCTCTGTGATCGGCTGTGGCAGGACGAATTGGGAACACGTGTCCACCTTCATCTGTTTCTATGAATTGCTAGCGTCCCTGCTCTGTGCCATGACAGGGCATTGGCGTCGAGGATGGGGGGTTTCTTGGTGCTGGATTTCTTCAGCCTTCACATGTGATGAATCTCCTTCATAGCTGCTGATGTGTGGCCTCGGTGATGTGGACGTGAACGACTGGAGACAGCATTCTATTTACAAGAACGGCTACTGCCCAAATCACCCTGTCATTCAGTGGTTCTGGAAGGTACGCCAGGGCCTCCAGGGCCCAGTCCCGCCTGTGTGCCTTGGCCTGAGTCAGGACCAAGGGCTCCGTGGTGCCCTCCATCAGGTCTTACTTCAGGACTGACACTAGACATTAGGTCTGTTGGTACTTGGACTGCCAGGAACAAGAAGAGACAGACAGCGAGTAGCCTCGTGGCAGTTTTTCTATAACTTTAGCAGACAACTAGACTTGAATAAGGTTGATCCTTACAAAACTACGCTGTCTTTCCTCGACAACCTGGTTGAAGCAACTTTTTTTTTTGAGTTGTTGTCTCACTCCGTCACACTCACGGCCACCCCAGCATCGACCTGCCGGGTTCTGGCAATCCTTCCGCCTCAGCCTTCCAAGTAGCTGGAACTGCAGGTGTGCGCTACCACGTCCGACCAATTTTTGATGTATTGTAGAGACGAGGCCTCGCCAAGTCACCCGGGATGGTCTCGAACCTGCGGGTTCAGGCACTCCACTCGCCTCCGCCTCCCAAAGTGCTGGGATGATTGACATACTTACTGAGCCACCGAGCCCAACCTGAAGCAACATTTAATTGAGGAACCCATTGAGCAAGATGAGTCTGAAAAGGAATGAACTGGCCTCGAAAGAACTGAACTAGTTCCCCAAAGTATAAATGAGAATGGAAGTTTCTCGGGGCATAAATGAGCTTCGGGCTGGCTTTGCCAAGATGCCATTTTCTGCTGAGAAATCTTTTTCTCGATTTTTAAAGTTAATTCCAGCAGACATTACGATCTTTGTATCTTACAACCAAAAATGCAAATGAAATTTGATTCGCTATCTTAGGCCCAGTGTTTGCATCTTCAGCTTAGGAGAGAAGCAAAGTAAGAGTGGGTCAGTCCCAGGGAGAGATGATAAAAGAACTTTTAAAAACAGTTTCCTCCTCCTTTGGGAGGCTGAGTCAGAAGGATCGGTTGAAGCCAGGAGTTCAAGAGTTCAAGACCAGACTGGACAGCATAGTGAGAACCCATCACTACCAAAAAAAAATTTTTTTAGTTAGCCACATGTGGTGGTCTACACCTGTAGTCCCAGCTACATGGGAGGCCGAGGCAGGAGGTTTGCTTGAGCTCAGGAGTTCAAGGTGAGCCATGATTGCAACCACTGCAGAACAGGGTGACCGAGTGAGACCCTGCCTCTAAAAAGAAGAAAAGATTAAAAGAAGAAAAGCAGTTACCTAAAATAAGGTTGATTACTTACTTACTGAAAAAATAAATCATTTAATATTTTTCAATTTTGAAATGTCTGTTATTCACATTTCAAATGTCTGCAGAAGTATAGAGAACTTAAAAAAAAAAAACACAAAAACCAGTTTTTAAATCCTAGTCCAAATCTCACTCAGCTTTGATTTGGGGTATTTTCTACAGCGGTTCAAGTGACATTACCAGAAAAGCCAACTCAATTCCTGTAATATTTCAAATAGATGAGATACCCAGACTGTTTGAGAGACCCGTCCCTACCTCTGTTTCTGTTTTCTCTTTACCAAACGTTGTCTTTGGGAAATGTGTCAACAATCTGAAATCCCGTCTCTTAACCTGGGCTCCCCTTGCATTGCTGCTTCCCAAACACTGTTTATTTATCCTTGGCTTAGGGGGAGCTGGCAGGCCTCGAACACAGAAACACGAGCTCAGTGCCATCGGGGTTGGCTTTTTATCTCATTTATTTTGGCCTGCTGGCAGAAGAAGAAAGAAACGCTGTGACCACTCACGCTCGAAGATTAGAGAGGCTAGTGTTGTGGCCATTTAAAAAACTGCTCAGTTTCAGAGTCAACAGCCTAGGTCTCCATTGCGATATGAATACGATAAAGCTTTGCCTGCCTGCATGACAGCAGCATGTCACGTGGGAGACATAACGACCTTCTGCCTCTGCTCACAGGCTGTGCTCCTGATGGACGCGGAAAAGCGTATCCGGTTGCTGCAGTTCGTCACGGGCACGTCCCGCGTACCTATGAATGGATTTGCCGAACTTTACGGTGAGCAGGAGACCGTTAGCTTCCGATCTCCGATGACTGCCCCGTCCACTGTAGCCCAAGGACACTCTGCCTCCCTTCTGGGCCTCTGCACTAGGCTAGGATGACTCTTCAGGACAGGGTGCTGTGCAGAGGCTCGGTGAGAGCACTTCCTGGTGCGCCTGCCTTGAGGGATGGGGGCAGTTGTAGAGAGAACCATGAGGCCGGTCTTCTCTCCTTTTTTTCCCCTAGTTTAGTTTTTGGGTATATCATTAAAAGCTAGGTCTTACAGAAGCTCCATGTGGGTATGAACTGATTGTTTCAAGGACCCCCTCACCCCCGGAGGCGGAATTCTTTAGTGCTCACCATAGATTAATAAAATGACTCAGCTTTGCATACCGAAGGTCCCATTTTTTTTTTTCTCTCCTGAAAGTTGTTCTAAGTTTACATCTTTCGGGTTCAGCTGAGAGGCTGGGCGGCTGCCTGCACTTCTGTCCAGTACACTGTTGTGTCTGTGGAATTTGAACTTGGTCCAGCTCTGCTGTAGAGGTGATGAGCATGTGTGCTGTGAGGTCTTCAGCCCTCTTGCTCCCCAACATTAAAGATCAAATACTGTGTTTCAGCAAAAGAGAGCATCTCAGAACTCACCCTGGGGGAGCTCCTGCCCTGGCGGTAGCTGGCTTATCTTTCTTCTCTTTCCTGAAGTCACACCATGGCCTCCCTGTGCAGTCTTCAGCACTCTTAACATTTCTCTTTCTGTTCTTGTCTAGGTTCTAACGGTCCTCAGCTGTTTACAATAGAGCAGTGGGGCAGTCCTGAAAAACTGCCCAGAGCTCACACATGGTAAGTGACAAAAGCACATACATGTCAGCAAGCAGGATTTGCTGTACTTAGCTGCACGTGGTGCTGGACTAGAGACTGTAGAACCCTGTGCTTTCTGCCCAGAATGAGAGGACAGTGATGCAGAGGAAAACAGAAGTTGTGTGGCAGTGCTGATCAAACGTAAACAAAGACTAGAATGCACCCAGGATGTCTGGCACTTAAAGGGCTTAGCCCCCCGTGCTATGGGAAATGTCTCCCCAGACCCAATCCTTCCCTCATTATTCTAAGTACCAGAAGCTCTCTTTGCCGCTTAGGGGGTAAGGCGGCTCCTGACCTCTGAATAGATTGAGTTTTGACTTCAACCTTAAATTGGTCATTGAGAACTTAGGGTGACATCCCGTATAGATTATAAACATCTTTTTTAAAAGGCCTTCCATGCCCATCAACAAGTCCTTGGAACGAGTAATAATGTGACGGCGGCCAGAGGCGTTTGAGGTCTGACAAGTGACCCATGGCTCAGGATGGCCACCTGTGGAGTGTGGCTGTCCTCAGCAGGCCCTCTCAGGATGCACAGCGAGGCAGAAGGGTCTCGGTCTTGTCCAGGAGTTACTGAAAACCCAGCACAACTGCAGACTTGATGGAGCCAGTTTTTTGAAGCAGCATTTAGCAAGCTCTTGCTAATCCAGACTCCCGTGGCCCGTGTGCTGGTTTTTCTGCATAGGCTTTTATTTCTTATCTCTCAGGAAGCAGTGGAAGTGGGCCTTCTGGAAAGCTCTGAGCAGAGTAGCCTGTTTTCCTCATACTCCATGAGGGCTTCAAAGCCTGCTCTGTCCATCCTGAGCTTACACGACGAGCACCGGAACACTCCCTGTAGGAAAAGCCCTCTGTTACGCTGCAGTGCTGGCTAGGAGAGGGCTCTCATCAAAGTGTATTTGTGGCAGCTTGACTCTGAAAGGTTCTGTTGGTTCTGCTGGATTCCCTTGCTTCGCCAGCAAAGTTTTGTTTCATTTTTCATTCCTACCATTCCTGTGACTCTTCCTGGAATGAATCTGGTCGTTGCCTATCAGAACCTTGAAAGCCAGCAACTTCAGCCTCAAATTGGTGAGAACCCATAATAGTTGTCCCAGGTTCTCTGCCTGCATTCTAGGGGAAGAACATTGGGTAGGTCAGAGGTTTTATTCCAGACAGCATCAAATGTGTTCTTCTGGCTTATAAAGATAGCCAGGGCCACACTGAGTCCCAGTCTGCCGGTATTCACAAGGAGCTCCCAGACACGGTGTTAACCACAATGAGTGTAAGAGCTCAGTTGTTGGTACAGTCCTCTTCTGTGGGCAGACCCGACCTCATCTTCATGGTGACCTTATGTATTGTTTCCCAGGCTGTGAGGAGCTTGCCCAGCATTACAGTTTGCAAATCCCTAGGTCGCAGGACTTGAACCGGAGTCTGGCAAAATGAGCCTCTGCACCTTGACCCCACCCCAGATGACACTGCCCCTGTTGATACAGCCGATTCCATTTTGGACTCTTCCAAGGGAACCGTACAGTGACCCAGTTTAGTGTCCAGCCACGTCCCTGTGACTTCATGGGCAGATATCGCCCTGGTGAAATTCACTTCTATTTCGGAGCCCACGTGCTTCAGCCACAAGCAGAACACAGCGCTGCCCGGATGAGACCTCTGAGTCACTGGTGCTCAAACTTGTTGCTCATGGGAACCACCTAGAGAGTCTTCAACAAAATACTGATGCCAGCCATCTGGACTTAGTTGCTCTGGCGTGTGGCCAGGGCAGTGGTGTTTTCAGAGTTCCCAGGTGGCTCTTGCAGGCAGGCAGGCAGGCAGTCGTCAGATTCCCAGCTGTTCACCAAGAAAGGGAGGAGTCTATATGCAGGCACAACACAGCCCTGCTGGCTCTCACCACAGCCTTTTCCTCGCCATGTGTCGTAGACATAAAGCAACCCAGTCGCCTTCCTAATGGTGCTCTTCCCAGAGTAGCATGCCACCCGTGAAGAAAGGCTGGGGCCACTTTCTGTGACAGGCTCTTGTAAGTGCCGTCTGCAGACGTGGAGTTCTGTCTTGAGGACTGGTGAAGAAATAACGTGTTTAGATCATTACCAATATGAAAACAAAAAGATAAAACACTTCTTTTAGGCTTCTGTTCTTAGGATTCTGGGGTTTCTGAGAATTCAGTGTGTGAAGCACAGTGCTATTCGCTTCGTCTTTTAATGTTTAGCGGCTGTTATAAAATCTGAGTGGGGCACAGCAGGACTTTTTTATTAAGCATATTAGGGGTTGTTAAGGGATCCATTGCAGTCGTGTATTTGTTTCTTACTACTGCCAATAATGGTTAGCCTTTAAAATGTAAGCAGCTGTTCTGCTCATACTTGGCATCGCATATCAACATCCAGAGGGGGCAGTTTAGTGGACATTTAGTGGACAGTGTGGGAGCTCACAGCAGAGCTAGCCCGGGCCGGACCTGCCTTTTCCACTTCCCGTGTGACCTTGGGCAAGTTACCTAACCTCTCTGTCTCCAGTTCCTCTTCTGTGAACTAGAGATGAAGTATTATCTACCTTAGGGGGTGATTGCTAGGGTTCATTGGCGTCCTGTAGGCATAGTACTGAAATGAGGCTGATGGGATGTGGCCGTGAGCATTTGCTCTTCCTAGAGCATCATGAGGTGTGGCGAGTGTGCGTGGCCCTTTTCAGTCTACCCACAGCACCGGTCCTGTGAATGGAGACTCTGACTTTCTCGAGCCCCGTGTAGACATTCAGCAAGTGGTGAGGGATTGGTAATACCGGTCACCATCTTTGGAGCACTCACTGTGTGCCACGCCCGCTTCACATGTACTGATTGGCTTCTCCCAGCACCTCTGAGAGCAGTCTCCCATTTCACAGAAAAGCCAACAGATTCAGAGAGACGAAGAGACCTGCCCAAGATCATACGGGTGACAAACAGCAGAGCCAGAACTTGAGCTTTGTCCCTAGCCAGGTGGCTTGATGGCTTGCACAGGTCATCCGGCTTTCCACTTCCAGTGTTGATCACTTACCTAACTCTGGCTGGAGAGAGGAAGCTTAGCATTGGTGTTCTGGAGCCCTGGGTCAGCCAGATTGTTAGGAGGGTGACTTCGGACACCTTGACTTTACCTCTCTGCTTCAGGATGTCATCTGCCGAGTGGAGACAACATTACCCACCTCAGAGCACTGTGATGGGAATGGAGTGAGTTAACACAGAGAAAAGCACTGGACTGGAGGCCTAATGTAGAATGAGTGAGAGAGAGCATTAGAGACAGACACATTCTCAATTTCCACATCACTCCAAGAGCATAAACTCTTGGTGTTCAAGGGCCTGAAGTACTTGTCCATTCCCTGCCTTCCACATCTCCACGTCTTGCCCATAGCTGTGGTTGCATGGACTGTTTGAAATTGTGTTTTCTCCTCCTCTGTGGCTCTAGCCTGTCTGGTGTGGACAGCTTTGTAGCTATCCTTTATTTTTTGGTCATCGGAATCGTTAAGGCTTTTTATTCTCTTGTGCCACCCCCTCGCCCCAGCAGCCAAGCCCAGGAGATGCCGCCGTGACTTCTCACCTACCCTTGCTGTTCTTTTCGCAGCTTTAATCGCCTTGACTTACCTCCGTACGAAACCTTCGAAGACTTACGCGAGAAACTCCTCATGGCCGTGGAAAACGCTCAAGGATTTGAAGGGGTGGATTAAGCGCCCCGCGCCGCGGGGGTGGTTGTTCTTCAAGCAAGTCTTGCTTGCACTTTTGCATTCGCCCGACAGACTTTGGCGGAGGCGATGGCAGCAGCGCGCTGCCAGCGTGGCCCAGCGCTGAGCCTTGCCCGCGCCCTTGCCCAAGTCCAGCCGCGGAGCCGGCCCCAGTTCGAGTTCCTGCACTTCCCACCACAAATTCTCAACCGGTTGATGTGTACACTAATTCCATTTCAGGAGGACTGACGCTATTTATGTTGTGCCTCTTCAGGCCAAGCCCTTAATAAATATTTTACATACTTTCTAATGACAATGAATGGAATTAATCACTCGACAGGTATAGTATTACAGCTCATGTTTACTTTTTTAAATGATTTAGTCTGATTTTCAGATTTTATTTCATGACAATTAAAGATGTCACATGTCCTTGGAAGAAGTGAGCATATTTTTTTTTTTGTATTTGAATTTCATACCAAGCTTAATGTCCATTACGTTTTTATTTTTGAAGTACTTTGACACCTCCACCCTCTACTAGAATAGGAAGACTAATTTTTGTCCAGAAACCTTCTACAGACAAATGGCTCTGAGAGGATTTCCAGTACAACGCTGGACATCATCCTTTTCCATACTCAGAATGAAAAACTGGATATGATGTTTTTGCTTTTCGTACAAACTTAGATAATAGCTCCAGGCTGAGAGAATTGTAACATAGCATGACAAATTTTGTGTTGACTTGAAAGGAATCACACCATTATTCCTTAGCAGTAATTCCATGTGCTATAATTCTTGAGACAGGGTTGGACTATCATTTCTCGTAAGAGAAATTCCTTAACCCTTCCTGATGCTGTACAGTCATCTTTTATTCTGTTTCCTCTTCGCTGTTTATAGTAGAGACATTTTGGATGCAACTTGGCACTGCCTGATTTGAAACTGTGGAAACCAGATCTGTCGAGTCTTCTGTTTGTATGCGTTTGCTCACGGTAGCTGACTAACCGATGTTTGTTCTAACTGCACCAATTCTGAAGGCACTTTATGCACTATATGGAGGTCCTGCCTGGTTTTGTTTTGTTTTTTATCGTACACATTAAACGTAGTGATTATTTCTGCACACACCTTTCCGGTGCGATATCTCTTCATTGTGAATCCGGCTGCTGGTGCACAGAAACCAGGATGTAAACTGAGCCGACAGATTTGTCCTCACCAACTGTTTTGTGATTTCTACTCAACTGCAAAGATGTATTGAATGTGTACTTATTCTAACCGAGTTTCAGTACCTATGACCTGTTGCATGCTTCGACACCGCGTACCGCCCGGGTTGTGTCTATTGTGTGCTAGACTGAAAGTGAGAGAGAAGACTTGCCTTGACCTACCGAGGTCAAGCTGTAGAGCTGATCGTGATGGAGATAGTGGGGATCTGCACAGTTTGGTTTGTTTCTACTGTAAGTCTCCATTGTGTCGTGCTTTGAGAAAAATGCCTGAGACAGTTTGGGAGTTCAGCAGCCCTGCTGTCCTTTGTAACCTGTGTTGTCTTAAACCCTGTCGTGGCAGTGAGGGGACTCCAGAGATTTGATCTCATGCCAGTCGTAAAATAAGATGAAAGAGCGTGGTTTCAGGAGCTCTGTTTATTATTACATAAGAAGGACCTTTTGGCGTAAAAAATTGCTCCTTTTCAGCCAGCATTGAGAAGCCATGAGTGTCTGTGGTCGTAAATGAGTTGTCTGGAGGGGTGCAGAGGCCTGAGGTTTCTGAGAGAAGGTGGATTTCTGCAGAGCTGGAGATTGGCTTCTTTGTCATACTGGTTGAAAATACCTAGGAGTGATCAGAAAACTTAGATCTTAAGTAGATATAAAAAACCCTATTGCTCATTATTTTTGCCTGTTGGTGGAATTTTCTCTCTCCCATCCACATAGCAGATGTCTCAGTGCAGAATGCCCCTTTCTGTAAGCCCCCAGAAACCAGCCTCAGTTTTCTTATGAATCACGCCAAAGCCCAAGTCAAGCAGTGGACTTTCATGGTTTTGAGAACCATCGTGTATTATAGAAGGAGAAATCCAATTCTAGTCTAAGGACCAGGACTTTCCTGTCCTTTTGTAAACTGTATATTGAAAAAAAAATCAGGGTATTCATTAAATGCAAATTAAATCAAGTATTGGAAATATGAAAGAAGAATCATCCTGATCATTTCTAAGCCAGCAACAAATAAGAACTATCGAAATCTACCCCCATGAATACTTGTAAGGCAGTAATTGTGAATGACATTTCAGTTCATCTACCCACTAATAATATCAGATTTTAATGTCAACTAAATATTGCTGGATTAGGGGTTTGGTTTTTTTTTTTAAAAAACCTCAAAATAAGACTTACTAGTCCTCTACAATTCTCTAAGTTTTACTTTTTGTCTAAAATGGTCATAGATCTTGTCTTCTCTAAATTTTGGTGGCCACACTCGATGGTCACCTTCACGACATGATTGCAGGTGGCAGTAAAGTCCACGGGCTGCCCAACCAGCAGGGTACCGGGTCCTCCCCCTGGCCCACCACCTGCCCAGTTAGCAGCCCTGGAGGGGAGGGCAGTGCTGCCCACCCCAGTGGTCCTCGCAGCCACGCTGCTCAGCAGGCCAGAATCTCTCAGCCTCTGTCTTCTCCCACGCCAGAGAGATCACTTTCATCCAGTTTCTTTGGTTCCCTGCCGAAGCTGTGGTCATCGTGGGTTGTTTACCATGAGGCTAAGGAGTGAGTGTTGAAGGTCTTTGAGCATCAGTGGTCTCGGCCCCCTGGCGATCCCACGTACGTCCATTCCTGCCCCTCGGTGGTCTGTGGATGAATTTGGGTGGTCCGCCTGGTGGGATACTCCCAGGACACTGTGCTGCTTCCCATCGCAGGCCCTGAAGCAGGCATCCGTGAGGCACTCGCCATTTTATTGTATACGCAACTCCAGTGCTTTTTCCTGAAATATTGTCGTTCCCTTTTCTGTAGCCAGCCCTCTAACAAATACTGAATTTGTGTTTCTAAGGCCCTTCAGCAAGTGACATCGGACATTCCCTAAATTTAGACAGCGAATACTCTAAAGCAACTGGATGTCTATTATTTCTCCCACGGAAGGATGCAGTGACAGATTCGGAGAAGTGGTTCACAAACTATTGGAACCGCTTTCTGCATCTCCCATGGTACAACGTGTCCCGTGGCGGTTTTGATCTTGCCAGATCCAAAGTGGCTCCCTTGACAGCCGAATTCACCTGCAGCAACTTGCCAACAGTTACCAATTAACAGTTGACTCTTGTATTTTCCTAAGAGACTTGTATCTCACCTCCGAGAGATTTTTAAAATCTATAAGAGCGCCTGGGCTAATCAGTCCTGCCCCCACCGACTATGCCAGTTCTTCTTTTCCTCTCTTCCTCACCCTGACTCTGCACCCCTGTACTGAGAGGCCGAGAGGGGAGCCACTGTCTGGTGACATTTTCTGCCTTGCCGGTAGGAGGTGCTGCTGTACAGGGGAACTGCCTGGCCCCTCCCTTCCTGACCCTCAAGATCACGCCCTGCCTGGGTCTCGTTCAGGTATTGGGGTACATCCTGATAAGTCATGTCAAAACTGCCAGTTTCAGCACTCAGATGTGTTTTAAACAATCCTTATAAACTCCGCTTTGTGCGTTAGATTTTAAAACTGGGAAGAAAATGTGATATACTTTGGACCACTTTTTTAATTTATAGAAGCCTTAATGAACAGTGTATATACACCTGCATACGCACACCCCTCCCAAAGTGTTTTCAGTGTGTCAGAGAAAATGCTGTAGCAGTAGGACGTGAGCTTGTCTAATGTTTTGTAGGAAAGGGTTTAGCTTTCTGTTGGCGTGAAATTCTCCAGGAAAACCTCTCATGGGACATCTATCCTTTATTAAAGATGTTACGCTCAAAGCAATGCATGTTTAAAGCGCATGTCTTTGTGTGTGTTGGTCTCGTGACAGTGGAATCCACGATATTGCCAGTGGCTCCTGACCCTGACCTCTGGTGTACTGCATCTCAACCTCACATCAGTGCAGCGAAGGCCTGTCTCACGACCGTGACCCTGTCTCTGCAGATCTCTGTGTTCCGATGTCAGTCAGTTTGCCCCTCTTTCGGACTAATTTCACCTAGAATGTCACAGTTTCCTTCATGTTAACTTTGCGTGACCCTGTTCTTTTCTACTATGTATGTAATATATATACATATATACGTACATGTGCTGTCCAAATATATATGTATATATTTGTATAGCATTTTTACACCTTTATTGAGTAATCTGGTTTCGAAAGGGAGTGAGAGCTTAGTCCCTCCGACAGTTTTCTCCAAGCTGTGTCCTGAGAATTCTGGCTCTCGGAGCCCCAGAGAACACTAGGAAGATGATGTTAATTTGCTGTCATTTCTTAATTCAGGATCTATCATCAAATGAAACATGAAAAAAAACAGTGACTTTTAAGGTGAAAAGAGTTTCAGGCATTCCAAATGAATTCTCAATGTTTCGTAACTTCTTATAAGCCCAGCTCCTAATATGAAGCCAAGTACTATTTGATATAGTGGTTAAAAACCAAACTACCTTGAAGTTTTTTTAAGACAACTTATGGGTAATGCTCATTTTCACGATCAGAGTAGCTTTAAAATACAGTTGAATTTGATACACACGGGAAAAGTTTTGTTTAAGAACAAATCCTTTTTGCTTTTCTTTCTTCTGGAGAGATCTAAAGAGAAATTGTGGGTTGTTTTCCTGACAGCAAAAGACTAATGTGACAAAATCAAGTCGTTGTAAAGAAGTGATGCAACTTGTCAAATATTTAATAAAGAATTATGGAAGCTGGAACATTTTCTACATCCAGTATTTTGGGTTGTCTGATTTAAAGCTTCTTTGTGAGTCCATCGTCTTGTTTCAGAGGGGTTTAAATGCTGGCAGATGTATAATATGTTTGTTAATCTCCCTAAAAGCGCCACACTTGAAAAACATTGAAGTCTGCCCAAAACACGCAGCTTAAGCTTGATAAGAAGATTCACATCTCTTCCTATCCATATGCTGTTTTGTCTTTTCGATTTGAAAATTGCTGACTTTCTGTAACATCCATTTGAGCTTATGTCCTTATCCACCCAGGACTCACTTTGTGTGAGTGACAGAGACCCACTGGTGAAGCCAAGCTGGTCTCACAAGAAAGGTACCAACTTTCAAAATCCGTATCTTGTGCCAACTCTGTGTCCAAGCCCGGTGGCATTTTTCTTCTTGCCAGTCCATTCTGCCGAGATCAGGCTCCTGGAGTGTCTGCCCTTTTTTGTTAGGTAGGCCTGAGCCTCTTCCTGATGTCCTTACCACAGGGACTGTCGCAAGGTGACATCCAAGCAGGACATGATCTAGGCCTTGGTTTCCTGCAACCTGTCTCTTCCCATGAGCAGGAGGTGGCATCTTGCCGCAAAGCTGTCAGCAGCACCTGGAGTTCCTGCCTCCTCCGGGCCATGAGCACACATGAGAGTTGCAGGTGGACAGAGCCACTCTGAGGGCTTATGTGTCCTTCCTTAGGGAAAAACACACATGATGCTATGAAGGAACTGCATCCATCATACAGTTACTTGGTTAACAAGCTCTTAACCTGCTCCAAAGTCCAAGCGTGGTCTAGGCACTTCTGAAATGTTAAAGCCTTTGGTGATGGTGTCTGTGATATCTGGAAGGTCTAAGACTGGCCCTCCCATGGTTGGCTCTGAGGAACCACGTTCAAAGGGGTCAGGAGTTTTGAATACCATTGCTAAAATCACGAAGTTGAATTTCCAGTCCCGTTTGGCTTTGTCAAACTGATTGCCTGAGCAAGCCGAAGATTCTGCTGCCGTGCCCAAGGCTCAGCAAACTTGACTTAGCATCATGTGGTCACAGAACGCGTGGCCCTGAAAGGTCCTGACCTGGCCTTGTCTAACACCTTCATGTGTGTCCTGGGCATCTTGCTCTTGGTCACTCTGGATGTGACCAGTACTGTGGGCCTGGAGGCAGCCTTGGGGACTGCTAGGTAGGCCTGCCTTCCCTGCTCAGACCCAGAATGGCCACCGCTGTGGGTGCTCCTCCTAACAAAACCAGAGGGCTCACAGGGGCAGGAGTGGTCAGCTTCTGATGCTGCCCTGTGGGCCGTGGAGGCAGGCATGGCCTTGTCCTCATCCCCTGCAGCAGAAGGGCCACTCATCACTGGGCTTCGACGAGGTGGGCAGGGGGCCACGCTCATGGCCCAGCTTTGGTGCAGGGGCAGGACAGCCAGACCTCCTTAGCCTTGAGGCCGCCCCGGCAGAGTCAGGGCCAGCAGGGCTCCACCCTTCTGTGTAGGTCACAGGACATGATCTCCACACGGTCATTGGGAAACCCAAGCGCCCTCTCTCAATGGCTGCACAACTCCCTGGGACAGCGTCCTCTGCAAGCCCCAGGCAGAGGAGGGGGGAGACAGCCCGTGGAAGACCAAATCCCCTCTGCCCAGCTTCCCCTTGCCAGAAGTCAGTTATGTGGCCACACCGAACTGCAAAGGAAGCTGGGCAATAGCTAGTGACACCTACAGGGAAAAAGGAGTCTGGAAACAGCAAATCACTGCCATTGAGGGTTTTTGTTCACCTTTCGGTGTTCCCTGCAGAGTGAACTTTCCCCTCGGGATGGGGGTCTTGCTGCCATTTGCTAAGCTTCTGGATCTTCCATTTTACTCTCATGACAATACTACTGCTTACTGCAAGTTTGCCCATCAGCCTAACGAGGTGGCTATTGATAGCGCCGGTTTACATGCAAGGAAATGAACGAGGAGGCTAAGAGACGTGAAGAGTGGTGCTCCGAACCCGGGTCGTCTGCCTCAAAGGCACCATTCATTCCACTGACGACCCCCCGTCCCCTCCATCAGACCTCCTCTCTGTGATAAGAGCCAATAAACTCGCTTATACTAAGGTGTCATTGATAGGCTAACCACAGGATCCCTTCCAGAGGGATTTTTCATTTTAACAAATGCCAGAGGTGATGCTTGGCTTTAAGTCGAAAGGAATCAAGGTCACATTTATGGTATTTACACATCAGCAAATTAAGTAGAGAGGCTTCTGAGGGAAAGGAGCCTGCTTCCGTTCATAGCATCCATCATGAATGTGGGACACCCACACAATGTGAGAAGACAGCCTGCTCTTGGGGACAGTCCCAGCCTCAGCACCTAACAGGAAACTGGACAGAACCCGCCCACACTCCAGCATCCCCCATCCTGCCCCAACAGAAAGCAAGTGCCTCATGTTTTCCCAGTCCCTTCCAGGGACACCATCAACATTTCTTTATTCCCCAGAGTCCAAGGGTTGGAGGGACCCGAGGCAGAACTGGATACTCTACTGCGGGAAACTCTGATGAAGCTCCAGGAGGTTGGCGTGTTTTTAAAAGAGGCTCTGCTCGGTAAAGAATTTTAGGTCTTCACTGTCACATTCATGTACTGCATAATGACATTTCGGTCAAGGACAGACCAAGTGTTCAAAGGTGGTCCCATGAGATTATCATGGAGCCGAAAAACTGTCCAGTGACATCACCACACATCACCATTTCTATGCATAGACGTGTTCAGATACACAAATACTGCTGTGTTACAATTGCCCACGGTATTATAGGTTTGTAGCCTAGGGGCGATAGGTTACCCCATGCAGCCTAGGTGTGTGGTAGACTACACCATCCAAGTCTGTGTAAGTGCGCTCCATGATGTCCACACAATCACGAAATCACCTAACAACGCATTTCTTCGAATGTGTTCCCATCGTTAAGCAACGTGTGACTGCATTTCATATGATTGATGCCAGAAAGTTTGGGGTTTGTCTTTTGAATTCTAGCTATGTAGTTCTCTCAGCCTTTCTAAGACTCTGCCACTGGGGTCCTCGGCCCCCCTCTGTCTCCTCCCACCCTGGCCTCACCCCCCTCCTGGCACCCTCTTGCCGTCTCTGCAGCCCATATTTACTTAGACGATCCTTGCTCGTTCACCAGTCGAGATGGCCGGGGGACATGCCCTCCCCAACGGACTGAGTGTTTAAACAACCGTTAGCCCTTTGAACCCCGGACTCCAGTTAAAAAGTAACAGGCTGAACGTTGAATCAATAAGAGACAAATATTAGTGCAGCGGCCGAGAGACACAGCGTTGGGAAATACTTGCTGCTAACGACATGGAAAGAGCAACGGTCACCTGACTGGGGGTCCAGGAGCCCCCTGGGCCTATCGTGGTCTTACTCTGCATGTTGGACACTGAGGCCACCAGGCCTAAATTCACTTGAGGATTCCCTGGGTCTGTGTGACCAATGTCCTCCTAGCGGGGATCCACTACGCTTCGCCCCCTTCCTGGCCCTCTCATGCCCGTGTTTTCCTGCCCCTAGTGAAACTCAGATTCCAACGATCTGCTGCTCAGAAACTTTCCATAACTCCCCATCACACTCCTGCCTGGTGCTCAAGGCCCTCCGGGTGCTGGGGCAGCAGAATAGATCTCCGGGTGGTCACATCGAGCGACTATCTCCAGTCCTCACCCTCCCTTAGTGTGTGTGTTCAGAGTTACCGACCATTTCTTCTTCTTAAACCTCTGTCTTTGGTTTCCGTAACCTTTCAATCTCCTGATGATTCTCTCACTCTTGATATATGAAGGGGGACCCAAAAAACCCAGAATTTACTTATAGGAAATTGTGTATTTATTCTTACATGTTTAAACTTGTCCGGCTGGGCTCGGTGGCTCAGCCTGTCATCCCAGCACTTTGGGACTCCAAGGTAAATGGATTGCATGAGTCCATGGGTTCGAGAGCAGCCCGAGCAACTTGGCAAGACCCTGTCTCTACAATAAATAAAAAAAAAATTAGCTGGGCGTGGTATCGTGCACCTGCAGTTGCAGCTACTTGGAAGGCTGAGGTGGAAGCATCGCCGGAGCCCAGCAGGTCGAAGCTGGGGTGGCCGCGAGTCTGTACTCCAGCCTGGGCGACAGAGTGAGACTCCAACTCAAAAAAAAAAAACTTGCCACCTTCAAAATACTCTCAGTTTGATGCAATACACCTACCTATCAAGACACTTCCCACCGCTCAGAACAGTGTTTGAACTTGTCAATTTTGATGACTTTTGGTGTTTCTGCCATTTTGGGTTTCACCTCTTCCACATCTGCAAAACATTTTCTTTTGAGGACTGTTTTCATTCGGGGAAACAAAAAACAAAACAAAACAGGGTGAGATCAGATGAATAGGGAGGGTGGGGCTTGGGGTCATGCCGGTTCTGGTCAAAAACTGTTGAACACTCAGCACGGCGTGGGCAGGTGCACAAGTAAGTCACCCCTCACGAAATGGGCAAGCATGTTGAAAGAATCTGTGAAAAAATCCACTGAAGCCAAACGTAGCCTCTCACAACAACGCTGGCTGATGCACTGGTACTGATAGGCTCCTAGAACACTTGCCAAGTGGGAAAAGCCTGTACCACAAGGGGCCTACCCTTCCAGAAGATTATTCTGGGGTTTTTTTTGGGTCCCTTCATTCTCCTACTAGTTTTTCTCCTCCCCTAAATATATATATAGATGTTGCCCCAATAACTATTTCTTCATGAGTATGCACGTATGCTCTGCTCTCCTCTTCTTCCCGCGTGGCTTATGTCATTACCTCCACGTAGACAATGACCAAATCAACCTCTAGCCCCATCCTCTCTTCAAACTCTCATCTTCAAAAACCTGATGGGCATTATCATAGGTCACTCCACGAGTCATTCAAACTCAAATGTCCCAGTCTGAACCCACACTCCTTGCAAACCTCATTCATGTTTCCATATCTCTGGGAGCTGCACCCTTGTATCTTCCAGGCATCTTCCCGGCACGTCATCATTGACCTTGC